TTATTCTCAACAAATACTAATTTTCCCAAAACCTAAAACAATAAAGGAATAGGAGATACAAGTGTTGTTTAGAACTTCACCCGACTCGCTTCTTCGAGATTTCCGGGGAAGAAGGAACAAGAGTTCAAGATCTTACTGGAAGAATCAATACACCACCAGTTGCAAAATATTATTTAACAGATTACTCACTCATCAAGCACGCATGTTATTCATTCATTCTTTGATTGCTTTGGAATAGGAACAGAATAAGATATGACTGAAATAGAAAGAAAGGAAATAGAAGAGAATGGGAATGAATAAAATGAAATAAAAAGTGAGTGAAAGAACAGAGAGATATGAAGAACCTGTAAGGAAGAATTATTTATTCCTATTGTCATGTGATCATCCTGCATGCTTTCTTTCATTTTTCTAACTTTCAAACTTTGCTAAATCGTATGTAAGCGTGGCGCTACGTGATGTTTCCGGTTTCCCTCTAATGGATAAAATGCTATACCTATTTTAGTAGTATACTACTTGTTATTGTTATTCTCTTCTAATTAATATGGGATACATCAACAGAGATTAGGTTTGTGGTTAATACTTCGATAATCCTATTGAACGATTTAGGTCATTTTTAATTCATTTCATTCTATTTGTGCTTTTGAGTTGTTGTCATAAACTAATGATTAAGGCATTTATTATATTATTTTCACTTTTCTTACTCTCTTTCAATATTTTTAGTATTATTGGTACCATTGGAAAGGAGTAGACTATCTTATTTTGAAAAGGTCATTCATTCTTTCCCTTCAATTACAACTTTTTATTTCATATTATTATAGTGTGCATCATTGGTTGAGATACATACAGTAAGGAGTATTGATTTGTGTTAGTTATTTCGTGGCGATTTGATTAGCTTGTTATAAGCCCGTCGTCCTTCATCATTCAAAATTTGAAATATGAAAGTATATTAGTTTTATATGAATGGATAGTAATTTTTCGCTGCAATTTGACCTTTGTTGTTTTTATGTTTACTTCATTTATCCATATTGTTGTTTGTCTCACTTCTGATCTCTCTATTCTCAATATCTGATTTCAGTTGAATTTCAGTTGGTTTTCGCTGAAAAATCTTTGAAAAAACGACACGAATCCAAAATCTTCATTTACATGAAAAGTACAGTCTAGTAATTATTAAGCTTTGAAAGTTTATTTAAGGTTGAAATTCGAAATATATGATAATTAATATTATGGGATTCTCATGATAGTGTTCTTGCTTTTACTTGTTTTTGTTCCTGTTTGTTAAATCGATGTGCGCTTTTGGTAGTTTTGCTCGAAAAAATGGTATGACTAAGCGACGAACAGTGCTTCAGATTTTAGACAGCAATAAATTGGAAATTTTACGATAGTGAAAATTTGAATTGACTGCGACTCTTAGCTATTTCATTAGCTATTGCCCATTATATTATGGGGTATAAGAAGGACCGTTTTGCTTTCTCTTAGAAAAAATCCTTTGGATTATTGCAGACGTTCATATCACTTTGCGTTCTTTCCCGAGATGGACACTTCCTTAGTTCGTAACGAGTACTTTTTTATATTTGATAAGTTAACTGTTAGTATTCAATATGCTGTTGGTACCCTATTGTACAATGCAGCCTTCACCTAATTTCGGCCTCGTCTTGTACGGTGCAGCCTTCACCTAATTTCTGCCTCGTTTTTTTTAATATTAGTTTCCGTTCAGTATGTCTTGATGTTTCTTTAATTAGCATACAATATTTCTCTCCCGAATGAATCTTTAAACTGTTATGGTTTATCAGTTTTTTTCCATTCTTTTTAAAATTCTCCTTTGCGTGCTTTTTGTCTACGGGCCTAGCGGACTTCTCTTACTTCACTGTTTTTCGAAGCACTGTATAGAGCTTACCGCAATTTCGGTTTCCATTCATAATGGAAAGAAAAGTGATGTTCTAATACTTAATTTGTTAATTAAAACGAGCCATCGAGATTATACTGTTCTGTGGGATGTTTCGCAATTGCGATATAGTTTCATTTTGCTTGTTTTTGAAACAAGTGTTTAGTCTTAGATGTTAATGGCACAAATTAAAACCAAATTAAAATTTTGTAATTTAGGAAGTTAGTTGTGTACGTTACGGTTTTAACTATTTCAATCAATTTTTTCTTTTTCACACTTTTCAATTATTCAAGAATAATGACAGAACGTGCGACAAAATCTGGTTTAGCGTTAGAGGCTCAGCGTAAAATACACGGAAAATATAATAGCGAACTAGCTGGACAACTTCTTGAATGGGTTGCCCAACTTACCGGAAAAAATTTTTCAACTGATGGTGATGTTAAGAATTTCTTGGAAGTCTTCAAAGATGGTACTGCATTGTGCAGGTAACTTATAAGCTAGCTCGGGATTTTATAGGCTATCAGAAAATTACTCGTTCGGTATTTGCAGCTATCTGCAGTGGATATTCAGTCAAATTTTAGAAGTATCAAAATTGTTTTTAATAGGAAAAAAGATTTCTGAAATCCTTTTCTTGAAAAAGGTCAAGGATGCAATTTTTTAATCAGGAAATGAAATATGCAGAAAATGCAGAGATAAATACTGGCGAATGATAATTTGAAAAAGAAGTTGGGCCAGTGGATTTTAATCGTAATTCAGAATCATTCAATCAATATGAGAAATTTATCTGTATAATCTGATACTGTTCTTTCTTTTTGTGCGCACATTCGAAATGTTTCAGCCTTGCAAATGCCTTACAGCCAGGTTCAGTAAAAAAGGTTAGCACTAGTGGAATGGCATTCAAACAGATGGAAAACATTTCATTTTTTCTATCGTTCGCCGAGAAGCATGTCGCTAAGTTAGAACTTTTCCAAACAGTTGATCTATTCGAGGGTCAAGATCCAAATGCGGTTGTTGTTTGCCTTTCGTCATTGGCCAGAAAATCTGAGGAGTTGTTTGGAAAGCCTGGCTTAGGCCCAAAGGTAAGCGAAATTCTATATCTTGTTAAGTTTTAGAAGTTGTAGGAAAGAAAAATCAACCCATAGAATCAGAGGTCCATGTATTCTGGATATAATTTACACAACATCCAAGTTCTGTGATTTATAATTCTTTCAGTTGAAAGGTATTGCTCATTGTTTCTGACTCATTATCATTCTCCCTTTCATACATGTATGCTTAAACTATTAGTGATATGAATACCCTGTGCATTTTCATAGTGATTTGGATATGTAAAGTAGAATGATACATTTTTTAACATTTGTCAGTTCTTATGAGCTTATTTCTCGATAATCCGAATTCGGAAAGTGGCTTTGAGAAGAGTAGATTCAAGCATTTTAGGAAATGACATTTAGAGAAAAATTAAAGAAACGTGCGTTTGAAATATCAGTCTAAGCCATACCGAGGTAAGCAGAAATGCCAACAATTAAACTTACAGCTTTCTTTGATTTGATGTTATCCAAAATATATTCACATATATAGTAATAATAAGTGCAGATTCATTGCATTTAAGCCATTTAAGTACTTTTTTATATAACATTCAGTTAGTGATAATTTTAGGCATGCAACTATGAATTCATGATAACTCTCTTGAACGTTTCATCGGTTGTATATTGCAAAATTCTTTCTTTTCAATGATACCAAAACCATAAATGCGCCTCATCGTAGAGGCTAATAATAGTGAACTTTATATTATCTACCATAATGACTTGTCGGTCAACATAAACTTTAGTGGTAGTCGACTACTATAAATTAATAATACGATACAGAACAAATCTGTAAATAATCAAGCAGCACTTATGTTTTTATTTTAGACTACTATACTGACAAGCATTTAAACCAAAAATATTACCCATTCATTAGCTGTCTCTTTAGGAGGCGAAAGGAGAAAAACGTGAGTGGTCGGAGCAAAAACTTCGTGCCGGCGAAGCAATTATTGGACTTCAAATGGGCACAAACAAAGGTGCTAATGCATCCGGTATCAATATGGGTAACACGCGTCACATGTAAAACTATCAAATCCTGACAGGAAATATTAGGTCGGGAAGATGAATAGAAGGGAGCGAGAGGAAGAAAAAATGAGCCAATAATGTTTTCCTAATGTAGTTGCTTAATTTATTTCAAATAAATATACGCCGTTTTTGACGTAAAATTTAGTGTTCAGAAATATTTTGAAATAGGAGCTTAAAGAAAGAAAATAATCTCAGATCTTATCACTACTCCTCTCTTAAAATACTTCTATTCATAAAAAGATATTAACTGTTATGAACTATCATTTGAGTCATTTAATGCTGACTTCAGATTTGTATTCGCAGTAATTTATTGTTTGTTGACAGAAGCACAACTGATTTTAGGGAATTCATACGTTAATGAAGTAACTGAGAGCTAATCTATTGAGCTACTAACTTGTGCATCGAAGTGTTGTTTAATATTTCTCGTCCATAGTGGCTTAAGTAAAATATTTAAGATAATTTAGTTGATAGAAATATAACTGTTGCTGTTGCTGTCTTCTGTGGCTTTATCATATAAACGTGTTACATTTGTGCGTAATAATTCCGATTTACTACGTGTATGTCTTATTTCGTTCTATTCCTCCTTTTGAATATTTCGCTTTATTGACCAAACTTTCACTTCGGAATAAATTGTTTTCTCATTCTTAGAAACAGTGTTCTGTTACGTTTACCATCGATTTTTTTGTATAGTATTTGGTGTTTAACGAATTTTCTTGGAGGGATATAACGATAAATGACAGCAGTAGCCGGAATGGAGCATAACGGTAGTTGGGATAGACGTTTAGTTTCTGTTTACCGTCTTGTGAGACAGTCGATTTTCGTAGCATTTCGTTGTTTTAACTCTCACAATAACTTCTGGTAGCTGTATAGTATTGGTTTGGGGACTAACTGTAACGGTTTTTATTTGAAGTGGTGGAAGCGGTACATATAAGGGATTGTTCATTGTTGTAGTATATGAATGATAGAAAGAGTTTGAAGTTGGATAGTTCTGTGTGTTGCAGTTGTAGTGCTCCATGTCTTGGCTTTCAAGAGTGTCACATATTGCTGGTCGTGCCGAAGATTTGCTCAATCAAATTGACCAAAATGCTGCTGTCGTATGATTTTTTTTTTAAATACCCATTCAACTTTTTTTATAAGAGTTGTACAGAATCAACCATCAAATGATACAGCAACAAGGCACGGAAATACATCGCATGTTAAGCATTATTGATATAATTTGTAAGAAGCCCTAATCAGTAGATCTGTTTCAGATCTGCTTAGGAAGTGTAGTTATTGTTAAGCAAAAATGTGAGTACATGTGAATGGAAATTGATACTTACAGGTGGTTAAGACTGTTAAGTGAGTGGTTTGATTCCTCGTAAATTTTGACTTTCTTCATTTATCGAAGATAGTGTCTAAAGAATTTGTGAGCTGAAGAATGTTGCAATTTCAGGCATTGAGAAACACAAGAAAAGGTGTTGGTAAGAGTGACTCAGCAATGAGTTTGATCGAAATTGAAGGGGAAGGAACAAAGAAATTGGGGAATTTTCAGTCAGAAGTTTCAGGAGAAGCAACCAAACATCACATAAGGTATATTAATGTACGGAATAATAGTGGTCATTTAATATTTATGAAATGCTTCATTGAATCTATCAACTACACATGTCGAAACATTGAATGCACAATCTCTCAAAAATTTTGTATACTAAAAATAAAAAGTCCCTATGAAGTTTTGATATGTGCCAAATACAAGACAACATTAGTCTTTCAAAGAGAGCTAGTGTGATTTGGATTTTTTTTCGTTTAACGACCCACTAGTTGTTTCCATGGTTCACATCATTCGCTTTCACCATTAACTCTTTGATTTCTCTTAAAACTTTTTTCTCAAAAGATCGTGTTGGAGTATTTTTCACTCATCACTACTCGAAACCACAATAAGATACTTAGATGAGGTTTTATGGGAATGACATATTTTAAGATCGAGATGCCAAGTTGCATAAATTTCCTAGAAAATGAAAAAGCAGTTAAAATCGAACAAACTGTCAATCACGCCTATTTAAACAGTAAGAACTTACAGTTGCACATATTAGTATAAACTTTACTGATCATGCTTATTTAAGTACATTATTCGTAATCTTTCAGTTTTGAATTGCCTCACCAAAAATTTTCATCATGAATAAACTTTCCAGGACAGACTGTGCATATTCATTATCAGGCCGAATTCGTAGTAAAAAAAAAGACGATGATTTGATCGCTTATCTGAATAATTCAAATGAACCGACTTCAAGCCGCTGTTCTTCCGTAGCAAGTTGTTTTTCAGCACCGAATCCTCATATTGCAAGTGAGAATTTAATATGTACTCCAGCTATTTACAATTTTTTTCTTAATAGGATTGTTCCGGAAACTTGATTTTTAGAAACTTTCTATTGTTTGTTTGTTTTTTATGATCCACCTCTTCATCGTTCTTTTCTTTACAAAAGATTTTAAGTTCTTTGATTTTTGCCAGCGAACAACCACTTTTTGCTTTAAAATATGCAATGTTGTAGTGGAAAATGCGAAGAAATAGCTCATTTAAATTTTAGATACCATTCGAACAACACCTGATTCGTATACAACTGAGGAATATCGGAAGACGCAACAAGCGGATGCTCTGAAATGCTTGCATATAAAAGAAAGTCAGATAGCTGTGATGTCTGTTCGATTGCAGGTAAAATTTAATGCATAAATTTCATTAGTTTATTTAACTTCGAAGGTCACATTTATTTCAGGAAGCAGAAGAAGCTAATGTCAAAAAAGATACCCAGATAGCAGAACTCAGTAAAGAATTGAAGTTGATCAAGAAAGAAATAGAAGCAGGAAATGGTGGTATCTCGAATGGTCAACCATCTAGCTTGAAAAAACTTCAGCATGAACATGACAAAGAAAAGGAAGAATTTGAAAAAAGAGAGCAAGATTACGTGAAACGTTTAGAATCAGCCAATAATGAAAATTCGGAGACTGAGAAAGAATTGCAGAAACTGAAGGCAAAAATTTTGAAGATGGAAATGAATGAACAAAATTTGATGGAAGAGGTACGCAAATTTTGCTTTTTTTCCTCGCTTAAAACCTCTTCAGGTAATTTTTCAATAAATTTTTGTGGTTTTATAACCTCGAAGAAATTGCAGATAAGACTTGCGAAGTATAATTTAGAAGAGAATAAACATGAATTTGACGAATACAAACAAAGAGCCCAAAAAATTTTATCTGCGAAGGAAAATCTTTTGACGTCTTTGAAGGAGGTATTTCCGAATCTTTTTCCAGTAATTTCTGACTTTTATCCTGTCTTTTGATTTTGAAATAATAACAAAAGGACAGAGCATTCCAGTTATCTGTTCTGTTCTCAAAATATGACTGAAATAATAAGGTCAGGATGAACTAGAATACTGTTTAGAACAATGGTATATGTTCGTTGAGCAGTGCTTGCATGCATATGTCATTAGTTAAAAAGTTTTATGATTACTTGTAATAATTTACTGGTCTGCTGCTATTATTAATTGTGCATCAAATCGTTTCAGTACTACAGGATATTCATTTTGTCATTAATAGAAAAAATTATTTCAGGTTTAAAATCTTGTTATCTTCCTATTTAAATTTCTTGTTATCTTCCTATTTAAATCTTGCTATCTTCCTATCTCAATTTTTGATTTTGAAGAGCATAATTTGTAGAATTCGTCCTTTGGATCAGATGGTATAGTAAACAGTGTCGAATTGGAAGAACTACGATGTGAATTTGATCTATTAAAGGATGATCTTCAGCAATCACAATTTGTCATCTATAATCTTAAGGCAGATATACAGGTAGTTGCGGCCGTGATTTTCATTTCTGCTTGGATTGGATTTAAAATTCTTAACGAAGATATAATTTAGTCCGCTCGGTCCGAGATGCACCAAAACGTTGATTCAGTTTTTTGGTTTTTTCGACTATAGGTACTCAGAACCATCTAGTCCTTCTGATCTAATCGGGTTGTCTTTTCCATGAATTTTATATACTAATTCCAATGCAGTCGAAGACCTCTTTTCATTGAATCTACCACGGTAACAGAGATGTAACTGCGGAATATGTTTCTAACCTTAATTTTTTGAGGAAATGGAAAATAAATTGCGTGATGAACAGCGATCTTCTGGAATACAAAGAGAAAATCTTTTAAAGCAGATGCATCACCATATATCTCAAGCAAACAAATACAAAAAACAGATGGAAAGAACTCAGCAAGTTAGTACTCACATTTGTAGAGCAGCTTATTTGCTGAAAATCTCCTATGCGATAGGCAGTGCTTCTATATTGACGATACATGTTTTCCGCTTTTTTATAGCTTATCTGCTGAGTAAACTTTGCTATTAACTCTCTCATTCATTCTTTTATACATGCAGTAACACTTCATACTACTTATCACTTATTAACTAATATCATGAAAAGAGTAGTACAAATCTGTGTATATCACTTTTTTAGAAACGAGATTTTTTTTTCTTTTTAGGAATATGACTTTTTACAAACGGAAATACATAGACAAGAAGAAGCGGTTGAAAAAAAACTTGCTGAGAAAGATATTGAATTGACAAAACTAATGGAAGAAAAGAAGACAGGCAGAAGATACGAAATCGGTGAAATGGAGCAAAAAATTTCGCTTCTAAGTGAAAAATTGATTTCGAAGCAAACAGCTATCGAAAGGATTGAAAGCGAAAAGAGAGCACTCGAGTTACGACTTGAACGTGCTGAAGTTATTTTTTAAATTTTAATTTGGTATCACGGGATCAGGTATCATGTTCCAGCTTTAATCAAATTAAATTAAGCAATTCTTTATGCTTTCACCTGCCATTCAATCTAGCATTTTCTATAGTTTCAACTGGATGGAACGAAAACCAGCTGAGCGACAGTAATTCAATGCAAATGAACCTCCTTTTTATTTATCCATCTATGAAGCACACTTTTGTTGCTCAAATTTTTGTTGTTTTTTTGTTGGTTATTTGTCCTTTGTTCAATTTTGCATTATTTCAGTATGCATGTAGAAATGCTGAAGCAGCTGCGGTTAAAGCAGTGGCGATTGAAATGCGCGGAAATGTTATCAGTGCAAGTGATCAAAGTTGTTCGATATTTACAATTTCACATTCGGATAATATGCTTGTTCACATGGTTAAACTTGCAGTTTGCATTTTTGATCGTCTTGGGTAAGAATTTTACTTGTTTTCTAACTTCTCAGTAAGTTTCAAAGCGTTTTAAAAATGTTCAGCTTATGTTATTTTTGTTTAACCGAAAGGCAATGTGTGTGGGCTGTTTTCAAGGTAGAGTTATGTACATTGATAGTTACTGAATCATATAAATTTGTAGTTTAAGTTGCTATTTGTAGTTTAATTTCTAGATCAGTTCGATTTTTTCTTTATACTCAGGCCCATGTTTGGATTTCTTATATTGTGCATTGTTACACACATTGGTATCCCTTATTTTGTTCATTATATATTTGAGATGCATTATTTTACATATTTAGCTTAATGCATATATCAGTATTAAGTATAATTTATATTTTTTCAGTTCTAATTTTACCAATTCTAGTGGAGTTGAGATTTATAAATTTTTTTCAGGTTACGTTTAGCAGTATTTATGCGCAGTCCTATGTTTCGTTTCTTTTTCTTTACCTACTGTTTACTATTACACGCATGGGTATTCTTTATTCTATTCACTTACACACCTGAAATACATCCCCTCTAACATCACCAACTACCAACTTTGTCCATATGCATCTTTATTCCTATAACGCCATCCGTGTGTATAAGCAGATTTTTGTACTCCTAATTCAGTAAGATTGGCTTGCAATAAGTCTTCCGAGATTGGATCATATTGTGCCTAAATATCAACTGTGATATGCAAATAACTTCTATGAAAATACCTTTCCTTCCTTGAATTCTTGTGATCTCATTTTTGCATAGGCTCTTTAGACACTTCTTCTGTTTTAAAATATTTCTTCTCTTTCATTGTTTGGGAAATCATGTAACTAACGTGATTTTCTTTTTCCGGTGTTTGAAAAACATAGTTTTTGTGATTTTGGTTTTTATTGAAATAGAGAATCTATTAATAAAATTATTTGGATATACAGGTTTTGGCGCAGTTGTTTTATCTCGCCAATATGTACTTTTAAATTAAAACTTGAGTAACTGTCCTGAAATGGCAGATTTCACGATTGAAGACCAATGCATTACTTTTACTTTGAAAATTAGACAAATTGGAAGTGGGTCTGGATATAGCCTTGATGCTTTTATAAATGTTGCATTTCTTAGGCTGCGTTATTTTGAGAATCAAGCAATTCTGCTATGTCGATAATTTCGCAGGAAAATCAAAGATTAAATTGATTGCAGCCAAGGCATTGTTTAACTGTTCGACGTGTTGCTTGCCTATTTGGAATCTATGGCTTATGCGATGCAAGTACCTCAATCTTTGCGTTCAATTGCACATTATGTAAAAATAGGTGCTGAAAACGCAGATCGTGATCCAATTATCCATTATTGGTGTAAGTTTGAGATTCTTTGGAAAACTAGACGAGGGCCTCATTGCAAGGATCGTAAGCTTTACGACTTATTATGGTTGTTCTACAAAGATTTTAGGGTTTCATAAATGAAAAGATCAACCGTTTAGGTTTGTTTTATGCAGTACAAACTGGGATGGATATAGACAAGAAGTCTCCAGAAGCTCTGCAATATCTAACGTCATTGCTTTCAACATTGGAAGATGTAAATCTTTTGCGAAATCTTTCATTCATAGTTTACAAGAATTTAAATCAAAAATACGGTGATTTAAAATCCAGTAACTATAGATGAAGAAGAAATTAAGTGGGCGAGAAGCGCTAACGCAAGATTTGGTAGCCCAAGCCCATATCGAGAATTTCGCAATGAAGTTATTCGAATATGCCGACAAAAATGATCGTCAGTCGAATTTTACGAAGTAATTTTGCACGTAATTCACAAATTTTGATGTGAAGGTTTTCAATTTTTTTCGTTTGATTAAGAATGATGTAATTGAGATACTGATTTATGAAAGAATGTAATCTTTTTAAATCAGTTCGCTAGGAATACCTACCCTTTCTTTATTTCATTTTGTGTCGATGCAAAAAGTTTTGTAAATATGAATCTTCATATATTTAATTCATTTTTCTTTTTAGGGAAAATAAATTTGTGTTTTATAATACTTCAGTTCTGCTCATAATTTTTAGGGGTGTTATCAGAGCTTTCTACACTGCTGGACACTTAATCGATGTTTTAACCATTTTTGGAGAATTGGATGAGAACCTCGTTGCAACTAGAAAATACGCGAAATGGAAGGTTGCACTATTATTTCTTTTAACATTTTTCATTTAGTATATTCGTAGGTTCGGTCTCTGTTTATTGGCATGTGTTATTGAAAATATTAATTAAGCTTTAATTTTGCATGCTTTAATTTTTAAATCAAGGATCTATTTCAGGCTACATACATACACAGTTGTATGAAAAATGGCGAGGTTCCGAAACCTGGATCAGGTCGAAGTCAAGATGATGATCTGAAAGGCTTTAATATAAAAACTCCTCAAAGTATGCTTTATTTTGGTTTTGAAAACTTTTTTTAGTCAGTTTTATAAACATTTCGAAATATAGTAGTACAACTTTTCTTAAAATTAATATCTTGCAGCTGAAATAAACGAAGAGCCTCAGTCAAGTACGAGTGGACCTGTTCAATCTAGCATTCTACCATACTCTATTGATTCTTCACACACTGCTTCGGATTTAGCCCAAACGGTAGAAACTTGTCAGACGTTGCATATCCTGGATTCCAAGAGATCATCACAGGTGGTCTCTGACAATAATGAAAATGGAAGATTGACCCTGGATGATTATATGGAAGCACAGAAGTATGCAAAATATGCCGTAAGTGCACTGAGTTATGAAGATTCTAAGACGGCTATCGAAAGTATGATGAAAGCACTTTCAATTTTGAAGAAATGACGGATTTGTTTTCAGAAAAATTATTTTGAAAAATGTCATCATTATGAACTACAGTTTTGCTTTTTTTGTTTTCGACAGCTTCTTTATTGGATCAATTTCTGTTTCTCTATCATGTGTGAAATCGTATAAATAGTAATTTTTAGTTTTTATGTAAAACAAACAACTGAGATATCAACTTCACTTGACTTCTTTTTTCATCATTTAATTTTTGAAAGTTTTGAGTACAACGCTATGAAAAATACTTTTTGGGTCGAAAATTTCGTTCAGCTGCTGTCCATGAGATGCTTTGGATAGGCATCATCTTGGTATTCTGTGTTTTAATCTGTCATCATCCTTCATTACAGCGCATTATTATGCAGAGCACTTTGTAATTTACTTGTTCATACAAATTTTGACATGCTATAATAAAAATCTTCGAAATTATTAACTGTTTTCGATGCAGAAGATGTTCGTGTTTCGGTTCAACTTTTTCGTTTTCTCCTAATTCATCCTCATTATCAGACTTAAACACGGCTAAATTATGATCAGTGCGGATTTGATCCAAATCCTGACACACGCTAATTATTGTTTTGATTGATTTAAAGTTATTCTGCACTATGTTATTTTTCAAGAAGGATTGTTTGCGATCGTTTGAAAGCAAATATAATAAGTTTGGGGATGAAAGTCTAGGATGAAAGCATTAATGAGTATCATATGTTTTGCTTTTGGTCCAAGTAAGTGCGTCTTTCTCTATTAGCAATAACTTTTCAAACGCCGATTTCATTTAAACAAGTTATTAAATTTTGGGGAAGTTATTGGAAGTGTGCTTCTGTCTCTTGAACATTCGTGATCTGATGTGGAAATTCTTGTTGCAGGTAGCGAATATGGAAGAGAGGAAAAAGAATAAAGCTAGGCGTGATTATCATCCGTTAGAGTACGTCTTTAGTTTACACGTTCTGATTGTGAATGTTTATTGCGAAAAATTATTTCATGCACTGTTTTCGATGAATTGAATAGGTTAAACATTTATTTCCAGCAGTGGTACTGGGTTCACCAATTTTTTTGGAGCAAAAGAACAATCTAAGAAAGTGATTGTGTTTGGTAGGAAATCAAAAGGTAAAAATAAGAAGAGACAGCATGTTACAAAAGAAGTGCCCGTTGCGTCACCATTTACAGGCAGTTTCTTTGATTTTCAATTATTAGAAGTGAAAGTTTTGAAATCATGTTTATATTTAAAGAACTTTTTTAACTGATTTGATAAAATATCACAATTTTCTCCGAAGGATTTTTTCAAAAATGGTATTTGTAACGGTCACTGAAAATGCAGTTACTCCAATTTTTCTAATAGTTTGAATGCCTACAGAAATATGAAAAAATGCCATTTTTATATTCAGGAGAGCACGCAATTTTTGCAGTACCACTTACTTTGGCTGTTTTACGAACGGGCTCTCATGATGGAATTCCACTACCAGTTGTTGTTAGGCAATGCATCGATTGCATTAATGGGAAAGGTGCCGTTATTTTGCATTTTAGCTGCACAATACGTTAACATTCTGACTGTCGCAAGCAATCATCATTTAGGATTTTTTACAAGTTTTAATAACTGTAAAACTGATATAAGGTAGTACATTAAATTTGGTGCGTGTATGAAAAGACATGAAAAGATTCAATTTAGGACTGTGTGTCGAAGGGATTCATCGGATTTCCGCGCCCAAAGCAAATTTGGACAAACTTGAAGAAGCAGTAAATTCAAGATGCTCCATTGAGTTGGAAGATATTCACGACGCTTCAGGATTACTAAAAAGATTTTTGCGCCAACTTCCAGAACATATCCTAACTAATGAAAAACAACCAGTATTTGAAAAGATTGCTTCAAGTATTTTGAGCTTTTAGTTTATTATTATTATGGTTCCTTCCTACTTTTTTTGGCAAATAGGTATTTTTCTTCTGTTACTATATATATAATACGAAAAGATGCAGTCAGTTTTGCTTTCAGTCTTTCAATCACAAAATTGATTTATTGAAGTTGAGTTTCAAAATTTGTATGTTTCATTTCAGATTGTCCATGCGGAACGTCCTCCCCATGTCGCTGTTTGGTAGCAGATATGTTGAAAGCTCAACTGACTTCACTACCAGAAGAAAATTATATGTTATTGGCGTACATATTCATACATTCTCAAATGATATTACAGAACAGTGATAAAAATAAGATGGGTATGGCTGCACTTGGATTGATTTTGCAAGCCACGCTCAATATATCACAAGCTCTTGTTCGAATATTCTTGCTCAACGCTTCTGATGTCATCCTAATGAAATATCAGTCTCCTTCCGTAAGTTATTATTTGAAAGAAATTGAATTTCTTAAAATCTCTTCATTTTATCAAAATTCGCATTAGTCTTTAATTTTCGTTTTTTTGTAGGTTGACATTGAGCGGTTGTTTAAGAAGAATGATAAACTGTAAACAAATATGCCATTATAGATTAAAGCAGCCAAAAAATCATATCATTAGTCCATTACCATTTTACAATTACCAATTTTGGTTTCTTTGGATGAGTGTCTTTGTCATTAAAAAAAGTTTTTCTTTTTTAATAAAAATGAAGCTTTTTTAAATTAAATTTTAATATTGTTTTTTATATCACATTTCAGATGGTGTATCTATTCAAAGACGTTCAAATTAAACGGTAAATTTTCTTCGTTTTAAACATTATCTTTGATCAGTTCATGCAATTTCGAGTGGTTTTCAATTTCTCATCACTTGTTATTCTGAAATAAAAATATCTAACAGTTGTCTAACTGATTTCTGACATGGAAATTTCGTTTCATTTCTGGTGTACTAGTTTCTAAAATGAAATGAAGTTCATAGCTTTAGTTTTTCTAAAGTTTAAATTCAGTTAGATTAAAATACTTACACCTTATCACGCATTTCAAAACTGGTTCGTTTCTCTGCATCATTCTTTTGTTTCTGTAAAACTTTCCATACGATTAAATTATAACTTTCTGTTAAAATGGGGTTGGTTAGGTTGAATTAGTATACTGACTGTTGAGGCACACTTTAATTCAAAAAATAAATAGTGGATGCTGGTTGGTTTCAGTTTTCTGGATGTTTTCTAAATATGCGGGCTGTTAATTTATGCGAAAAATAATGAAAAAATTGACTTACTCTTAAATGTTTGATGATAGCAGCGATAATAGCAGTGGAAACGATCGTCAGCATAAGAACAGCAATAATTATTAGTTCGGAATTGGTTTTGGTTTGTTCACTGACTAGTTCCGTTTTCATATTTACATGGTATAGGGGATGTACAGACGTGGATGTATTTAGATGATGCTCAAATTTTGTGTTTTCATCACCAATTAAACCACCTTTCTGGAATGAATCATTAGAACTTTAAATATATCAGATTTATTTTAGAGCAAATTTCAAATCTGTATCTGAATATCGTGCAAAATCTGTAAATTATTTGAAAACTCATGAAAAGCGTGTTGTTTGAAGTATTCGAATTAGAACTATAATAAATTTTTCTTCTTTCTTTTTAGAAAATATACTTGTTTTGTAGCTTTTCATACTTTTTTTTAACAACACTACAAATTAACTTTTTTTTTGTTTTGCATTAAATTTTGCTGAATAACTGTGTATTACTTCCTTTTTTAGCCAGTACCTTTAATTTATTTATGAGTTATTATAACAAAGAGTAAACTAATTTAATTTCTATTGTGGGAAAAAATAACATATGTTTCAACTTACAGCTAGAAATTTATTGAGAAGGTCCGTACTAATGTTTTCTAGTTTTATGTTATTATCCATTGTTAAAATTGTTGATGTCGTTGAGTAGAAGACATCATCGCTTGAGTTATACATCTTGAATGAATCTTTAATTACATTCATTATAGCTTGTCCTTGTAAAATATACGGACGGTTGCAGTTTGTTTCGTTAGCGTGCAGTAACATGAAGTCTTGATCTAGCAGAATTGCTTCTTTGTACTTCAATTCGATCTCTTCTACCACTGAAATTAAGTACAAGTTCATTCTTATTTGTTCGATAATGAGATTATAAATATTTTCTCAGAAGAGGAAGAATTACTTTATTCCTCTTATAGATTTTCTAACTTTTATATCTCTATTTGGCGAAATATGCTTTAGTTAACCTGAGCTTATTAACTTTGGTTCAATTTAATTCTTTTCTAAAAATTTATTAATTTTCATAGCTTAGTGAAATTAAAATTATAAAGGCAATACCTGTTTCCATATTTTCATTACATAACCATTGATTGTTTGATAGATCCAATACGCGTAAATTTTTCATGTTTTCTAGTACAGTTCTTGACAGCGTCGTCAACTGATTGTCACGTAATATTAGTTCTTCTAGCTTTTCATTCTGAGCTTCCAAATCCTTTTCTTCGATATGTTGCAATTGTCCGTTACTTAAGTCCAACTCCTTTAATTCCTTGACTAAATTTGCAAAAAAATTGATTAAAAAATTCATTCTTTGAATCCAAAGATTTACTTAGATTTCATTATCAATTTTCGTTATAAATTTTCATCGAATTACTATCTCAGTATTTGGGAGGTACTGACTTTTCCATTTCGCAAGACCAACCAAAACAAGGTCTGAATATACTTGGGAAGTTTTTAATTTTGTTCAGGATTTGAGTACTTTTAACTCGTTAATTGTAACAGTTTCGTGTCAGATTGTTTACCTTTAGTGAGGGGAGATGTCTGAGGGTGTTATTCAATTCTGTGATACTTATTTCACTCATATTTAAGCGACGAAGATTACTGAGTCCGTTGAAAGCGTCGTTATCAATCTTGAAAATTCTATTTATTACGGAAATTGAATAAAATTAGTATTACTCCTCGAAGTAAAATTTTTTCTATCCGAAATTTATGTTCTATTTTTGATTGAAATTTTGGCTATTCAAGACTTACATGTCTTAGTCGTTTATTATGCCGAAGATTTAGGAAGCTAAGCGATGAACCAAGTTTGAAGAAGGAATTATTTTCCAAAACTGAAAATTCATTCCATCCAAGATCGAGTTCTTTCAAATGTTCCAATCCATCCCACCAGCAAGCTAAACTTTCATTTAGATAATTTCCGGCAAGTGATAGGCGTCGTAGACTTGGTATCCAAGCAAAACTTCCACATTCCACCTCATTCAGCAAATTGATTCGTAAATCGAGCTGTAAGTTCCCATTACCATTTTATTATATATTAATCATTGTGAACTATTTTATTTCTCATCACATCTTAATTTCGCATAACCCATCATTTATTGACATAGTTTCATATCTTTCTTTTATCAAATAAAAATCACATTTACCTCTGTGAGTTTGATAAGACCTTGGAAAGTGTTCTTACGAATAACAGTCAGACTACATCCGGGTAGTAATAGCTTCTCCAATTTGCTCAGTCCTCCAAATATTCCTTCTGTTATATTAGTGATTCCATCAGTTCCACCCATATCTAGAACCTGACATACTGTTCAGTCCTCAAGTCGAATTTTAAGGTTAATGAATAATTATAAGTTCTCTTTCTTCGTATTTTTCTTTCGTTTATTACAAATGTTTTCCTGAGAATTTTCTAACACTTAAATTTCCATACGATTTAATTTCTACTTGGAGTTCTTTGAGTTGTGAAATTTCGTTGAAGATATCGTTGAATGAATTATGATTTCCGATATTGAGCTTTTTTAAGGAGTTGCGAAGTATCGATAATGTCCCATTTTCCAACGATGATATGAAATTTCCTTCCAAATTTAGGATTTCCAGCTAAAAATGATTAAAAAAGGACTGAATTTATTTTCAATAAAGCATTTCCAATTAGGAATTATTGGCAAGAAAACAATTTGAATTGAAGGAATGGAGGTATGTATTGGAGGTAACTAATCATTTTACTCGTATAGAATACTAGTTTAAATTCTTAAAATAAAATCTTGGTGTGATTTCTCGAATTTCTAATTTCTAATTTCCATTTAATCTTAGCGGGTAAAAAGATGGATCTCTCAAGAATAATTGTTTTTGAAAACAGCCTTTGGACCAAAAATTTGCTAATAAAGCTTACATCTTTTAGTGTCTCGAAATCCCTTCTTACCAGACTAGTTAACTTGTTATAAGCCAGGGATAAAGTTTTCAGTTTTGTTAAATTTTGAATTGCTGCTCGTGGAAATTGCTCTAGGTTGCAATCGGTAATGTAAAGTTCTTGCAAGTACTCAGCTAAGCCATGGAATGAATCATCATGAATGTTCAAGGAAATGCTTTCAACACATTTGTCTGAAATTCAAATTTTCCAGCTAAGAAAGTTAGAAAAAAATTTGTTTAAATTTATATATTTGAAAGATAGTTGAAGCCAGATATAGTAAGGGATAGTAATTAATTCATTGATGAAAAACTAACCAATGGATATGATTTCTATGGGCGCATAGAGATTATCGAAAATTTTTCCAGGTAGCATGCCATCGACAAATTTAACACGACTTAATGTCACCTTTAAAATTCATGATTTGGATCAATGGTACAAGGAAGCATAGGAAGTTAATTATGCATAATTCACAATTTGATTAAACTGGAACACAATTTAAATCTAATTAAATTTCTTTTTAAATGCCAAAAAGATAAATTGATGGTTGAAAATAATTTTAATTTTTTGATTTCCTAAAAAATGATACTTCCACTACTTGAAATGATTAAGAATATCGAAATGGTTATAGAGTGATATATTAAAAAATCAAGTTTGTGTGTTTTTGATGAAATGGCATACCAAGTTTTCTTAAGAAATTTCATCAAGAAATTTAAATTCCTATTTGTCTTTTCTGATTTAGGGAAAGAAACTAACCTGTTTAACGGTTTTTTTCGCAGCAGTAGCAGCAAACAGAGCTTTTTTAAATTGTTCCACTGTAGAACTATACAAACAGCTGATATCTACAGAATCCTTATCTCGAACATTACAGAAACAAAAGCTTCCATTATAAGAATCAGCATTTGCAATTGTACTAAGGGCAGGACAACCGGGTACTGAATCATATTGTTGCGCTTTCGCTACGAATAATAACAGCAAACTGAATAGCAAGTAGGAATAAATTAATATGTCTTGAATTTGTATTTCTTTCTTATGAGCTTCAATAATTATCGAATATTCAGTTCTTGCTTGGCATGATTCAATTTTTGCAATATTTGGAAGTAATCGTAAAGAATGAGTTCGAAAAAAGGAAAAAATTGATGAGTGAAATAGGAATTTCATGGACTTTCCATAATCGTTAGGTATATTAGCCAGAAATATCTCATAGAGTTTCCCCTTTATAGATCCTGAAGTTGATTTACCGACTTCATTTCTCGTTACTAATGTCAGCGGAATGGTCATCGTTGAGAGGTTTGATAGTAGTGATGATGGTGAAATTGATGATGGCGGTATATTGTATCAATCGCCAAACGACCCAAAATGTGATCCCTGTTAAGAAAATGTAATGGATTTTCTCATCTAAGAGATGCCACTACTACTGCTACTACTACTGCTGTTCTGGTTTTCCTGCTCATCATATCCTCTTTGTTGCGCTATTGTCGTTACTGTCCAACATTTCGACATTTTCGTCAATTATCCTCTAATTTTTCTGCCTACCATCGTAATTTAGAATTCGAATTTCGTTTTCTCGTGACATTCCTATGCAACAGTTTTTTTCGATAACATTTCATTCATCATATAAAACATTAAACATTAATTTGTTTTGTGAGTAAAAGATCAAGTGAATGAAATGTCCACTACTTATGTATAATGGATTCCATTTAAAGCTATTGTATTTATACATTTGTTATTTTTTCAAGTATGATAACAATCGATGACTTTTTTAAATGACTGTGTAACTGTTTATTGCTTTCGGCCGTGGTTGGCGAATTTTGAAGAGAAGTTATCTTATGTCCACTTTTAAAATGGTCAATGCTCGGCTTTGATTTTCGATTTTTCAACAGTGAATCAAGATTTGGAAATTTTTTTAATCATGTAGTATCTCAGTAGTTTTATTCTTCAAATAATGTTGTGGAGCTCTTTCTCCTAATTTAAATGTACATGACATCGAGAATATAATTTTTGTATGGATTTATTAAAAACAGTGGTGCTATTTAAATGTAAATTAAGGCAAATATACTTTAAGATATGTGGCACCAAAATCACCAAAGATTATTTGCGAAGGAAATTTATCGGACTCCGAGGAAGAACTCCGTAGTGAGGAACGGAAGCAGCGAAGTCGTCTGCAACAGCTTCATCTGCAAGTAAGTTTTTAGTGGTGAATTTTGTTACCGGTGACATTTCTTGTTTTAACTTAGATGTCACGGAAAACCGGAGACACCCATGGCAGTGCTTTTTATGGATATTTCATTTATCATATATTGTATTTTCCTATGAGCACGATGCGTAGCTTTGCATATTTTCTGCTGTTTTTTATTTTAGCTTGTATATCGTAGAAAATCTTTCTTTTTATGGAAATTTCTAAACAATCAAAGATTTTTATCAAATTCAAAATATTTCTACTGTTTTCGAGCAATTCGTACCTGTTCTTGACTCAAAAAATCACTGTTTTTTTAATATCTTACCTGTTTTTTTTGTATCTTTGAAACTTGCAGATCGAAGAGCTTCGAGAATTAAACTTATCAACGAAACAAGCAGAAGAGGAGTTATGGGATGTACAAACAGCAATCACAACGCTCTGCAGGAAAGTAAATATTTTGTTTCATTTCTTATGCGTCGGTGAGTTGAAATTGTTCATATGCACTATTTATTCTGTACATCCTTGAATTCACTTGCTTTCAAGAATCCGTTTTAAGCAGAATACATGTTAAGCTGCAAACAGTGGCTGAAAAATGAACGAATGAAGTCTTAAGGCTCAGCTAATATAATTTCAAGCAGCAAGCATGTCTTATGTCCGTTTCCAGCTTTGGTGCTTGTCACTCAAATGGAAAGAGTGCTTATTCCAAAGCCTTTCGGAGTCCTTAAAAAAATGAATTCCAAAAATATATTTTACTAACATTATTGATTAAATTTTTTTCTTTTTAAGGCTTTTTAAGAATAGAAAACTCATTCGTAGTTAGAACTGATTGCAAAATTTCATAACTGTTTTTCAGGATTTCTCTTGATTGAGTAAATCATTTTACTATCAGTGAAACGTGTAAGGAATTGCTAAAATCATTCGTTATCATTACAGAAAGTTCCTTAGGGATTTTATGGAATGATTAGGCATGCTTAAATTTATTTTTGATTCATATATGTACCCGAGATTTAGCATCTAATACTTAAGAGATGAGGGAAGGTTAACAAAATGAGAATGGGGGATTTCTGACTTCCTAAGTTTTGGAGCTTACATCATTCGCTGTGCCTGATTCTTCAGTTTACTTCGCTTCTAAAGGTTATTTTCATACGTTCAGTATTAAAAAAAAGTTTCCAACTATGCTGTATAATGTTTTAAGGGTATGATGATACAAAATTGTTAAAATCATTTCTCATATTCAGGGATTATCGTTTTTAACACAACGATAATGACACTCTCCCAAATAAAATAAACAAAAATAACTAAGGCATAAATTTGGATATAAGAGTTTTTGTTTTGTCAGTTATATAATGAAATGGACGAAATACATGTAATTATTTACATTTATTTTATTCGCAATAAGTCTTCCCAAATTATTCATTACTTGTTTATTTAATTGTAGTATCTATCTCCTGAGAAACTTATATCGTTTTCTAAAACTTTCCTATTTGCAACAATTAGTCTAACAATATTCAGTGTCTTTATTTTGAAGTTTTAACTTTAACTTTGGAAGGTGATGGATGGATGGAAGTTACTCTAGATTTTTGAGTTTCTTGTTATTTCAAGTAAACTTTTAGAATTTTAATTTGCTGACGATACAGCCTACTGATAGGCCATATAATAGTCCCAAAAGATATTATTTCTTTGTACATTATTTGTTTTTCCCCTTATATAATGGATTTTATTCATGTTAATGATCACTAGCTACAAAATATTTATTGAATTTTGCATCCAAACTAATATGCCTTTTTCCGCCTATACCATTTCAGCTGAAAAGTATACGTATGGAACATTCGAGAAAAATCGAAACACGAAAAAATGATGGTCCAACGCCAACACTGGAAATGTTCGAGGAGAAACAGTTACTGGCCGCTTGCACAGCTTTACGCGAGGACATTGCTCGTCATAAATTAGAAATAATAGCTTTGGATCAATGCTTAAATACCATGAGTGAAGTAAGACCTTATTTTTTTCTTGACACCCTAAGCCATCTCGACTTGTAGCTAAGATACGGATAGCTAAAAACCAACTATAGAGAAAATATCTATAGTTCATTTTGGTGAGTGTCTCTAAGCGCCATACAAGCTGTAAATTCATCTGATTATTTAAACAAACTTCATGTTGAGATCATAACTGTTTGAAATCTAACATAGGTTAGTAAACTCTTTTATTGATATATGCAATCCCTTTTTACTCTTGATTGATCGCTATGCAATCGTACTTTTTACGAATCGCGGCGGAATTCACAAGCTTAAAACTTGGCTTGGCCGAAGTTTGCACCGTTGCTTTTCAAATTCATATATAGAAAGATAGCAAAAAATCTCTTCAGCATCTTCAAAAATGAGTTGGATGATAAACTGCTAGACAGACAGCATTTCGAACTGAAGCTCTTACTTCTATCAAAAATTTATTTTAAGAATAAAAGTACGGAGATTTTGGAAAACATCGACAATGAATACGGAGAGGAATACTGGCGCGATGAATGCCGAAAAGAAGAAAAGGAGCGCGATAGTTTGTTGTCCGAAATAGTTTCACTTCGAAATGATTGCTGCCAACTACGCGCTCAAATTGAATTAAATGCTGTAAAAAGGCTCACATTACTAGTTACAAAGTTTTAATTGTAAGTTGAATTTTATTTTCAGAATTTGTATGGACAAAATGTTTTATTACTTATCATCATCCACAGCACTGAACGAGTACAATTTTCAACTTACTGTTATTGACAGTCTAACAATCGGAAGATTTCTTAAGAACAAATCAGAAGGTCATCTAAAGTAAGCAAAATACAAAAAGCAATTATTTGGAAACAATTCACACTAACTCAGAACTGAGTAAAGATAGTACAGACTGAGCAGACTAAGGAGGAGTTAGCCCAAAGCTGTTTTTGACCTTCAGCTCAATTCATCGCTATAATTAGAGGTGCAGTGAGACATTCTTTAAATTGAAAGGTCCAAAGCTTCCAGTTCTCTAATTTCAAAATAGTGAATAAATTATATTTCATGGATGAAATAATTATATATCATGAATTCCTAGCAGTTAAACAATCCTGATAAAACATTATAAAATATTTTTATATTGTTTTTGGCGAAACAATATAAGCTCAATCTAATCTAACTTAAGGAATGAGTAAAAATAGGGAGTAAACAAAACATTCGACCTTTAGATCAAATTTCTTGAAAGGCCATTCGGAATATAAATTATAACAATGAAAAAGGTAGAAAAAGGTCAAGCACATTATATAGGAATATGACTCAAATGTGGAGAACAGGAAAAGACTCGCATGCAGTATCATTCTTGAAAGACCAAGAACTCATCATTCTGCTTATAAATAATGTGCTTTGCTATGCCTCTATCAGTTAATAAGACTTAAGAGTTCGAATTCTGCTATCCTCAGATTTTTTAAATAATAATAATCTGAACTAAGATGAAAAGCTCTGACTAGCAACGTAGGGAACATATATGCAAACAGTGCACTCAAATATAAGAAAAGCATTTTGTAATTAGTTTATGCTAAATTGGCATATCATATTACTTGGAAAGATGTCAAAAACATTTTTTCCCACAGTTTACTATGTTCATCACTTATTAACTTCGCTTAATGCTAATGCTGTCAAATTCTTTAGAAATTAAATAGGGCACCGGAACTTGTCCATTTTGCTGGAATCCTTATATCTTGCGTTTAGAAAATATGGAACTTTCTAGAAATAATTTTTGACATTGATATCTTTATGACTATCTGTTTCTTTCGGTTTGTGCTAAGGCTATTTGTATCAAATGGTCCCGTACTCCATCACCGTTAGGAAAATTGCGAACCTGAAAACATTAAGAGGTTTTTAAGTTGTGAAACAGGTCGATCATTTGAAATATTTTATATTTCTTATTAAATGAATGGCAACAAAATTATGGGGAAATAGATGAATCTACAAATGCTGTTAATACCATCTTGACGGCATGTTCAGCATGTTCCCGAGCTGCAGTTCGTGTTTTTTCCAGACCAGCGCTGTTACCAACAATTTCCCAAGCTAGTTCTGCATCACCTTCTTTAGAAAAACTTCGTTTTATTAGCTTATTTAGTTCAGGATATTCTTCGGCAGCGAAGAGGATGGGAGCCGTTGCAAGTCCTGGAACAACAAATCTGACTGAGAAGTTACACAGAAAACTAGATCTTCACTAGACTGCAAGTGAATCACCTAACTTGAGATCATTTGCAGTCGGTTTTCCCGTAACGGATGACGTTGAAACATAATCCAGTAAGTCATCGATCATTTGAAAGGCGATGCCTAAAGATTTTCCGTACTCGTATGCGGAAAGTTCGTCTGCCTCCGATACATCTAAAAACTTACGAATTTTATGGACAATTCAATTGAATAAGGTTTCCGACAGAATAAAACTTGTATAATGGTCAGTCTCATATCACACACAAAACTACGAAAATAAACTTAACACAAATGATCATGCCAAAATCCAGAACTTTAGGAAGTTGTCAAAGTTATCGGATTTGTCATTACTGACCTGAAAGCATTGCAGCTGATTTGCAGCTATTCGCAAAAAGAGATGCTGTTTTTGAGTATGTTTTAGCCATATATTTGTTGAACCTCTGCGTAGCATTTAGATCTGCCCCATCATTCATTTGCATAAACTCTCCTTTCACTAAGTCTTCAATGATGGTTGCCATAACCGAAATGACGGACGGCCTTCCGATGCTACATAATACTTGTGTTGCACGAGCAAGGATAAAATCTCCCACCAGTACAGCCTGAAGACACTTTTCTAATAAAAAAATGTAATGAGAACTATAACCATAGTTTTTTTCTTGTAATCTGATGATGAGAACTATAAGTCGACATTTCTTTTCTGATAGAGTTCCATGTTGCAACAATGAACTAACATGGAATTTCGTCAACGTTCGTCCGTGAATTTCTGAATTTCTAAGCCTTTAGTAATAACAACAATATATCAAAGACATTACATCTCTCAGCACAGATAAACGGGTGGTTTGTGATAACAGGCTATCAAAATTTGTAATTAGGATGACTCGTGGTTGTTATAAATTCAGTAAAAGATAACTATGAGACAGACCGATTACCATTTTGTTGCCCCAAAGCGCATTTACAGTGCAACTTCCACGCCTTATATCAGCCTTATCGATAACGTCATCATGAACCAGTGATGCAGTGTGTATCATTTCTGATATTACCGCTATTTTGTACTGATTTCTTGTTACTGTTTCACGACCCGAATCTACTAACATTCTGGAAGAAATGCGATGGATTCACAAGATTCTACAGATTTAAAATTTATCTACCACACTACACAATCTTTCACTCGAAGATGAACGAAAAGAACATGAAGTGAACCTACAGAGTGATCTCGTAAACTGCACGGTTTTTACGATTACAGAATGAACAATTTTTGTAATGTATGTCGTCATAAGCCAGAGATAAAAGACACCAAAGCTGAGAAAATATTAACAGCGCTATTAAGAAGTTTATGGAACAAAAACCAACGATTTAGGCTCAAATTGATTGCATGCTCTAGCCATCAACAAACAAATGGTTGGCCGAAATAATTTTCCGCCTTGATCAAAATAATATTTAGCCATTTCTTGGAAAGTTTTCGTAAATGCTGAACTTGCAAAACATGTCGATAATAACGATGGGCTATTTTCTGCATTTCGCACAAGAGTTTCCGTGATTTCAAACTGTAAAACACAGTCTAGTTTAAGCTTGATGTTCATTTAGTAGATTTGACGAACAACAAGATATTGCGACTTAAGAAAGTTACCTGAAGTGCATTCAGCTTATCCCTGATAAAGCTGGGTAACCGTGTACTGAACACTTCTTCGGCAGCCAGATATGGGCGATGAAATTTACGAATAGATCCCCTCATGGTTTGAGGTGACGTTGATACAAAGGGTTGATGCAAAACTGTGAACTAAATAATAAATTATGACTACTCTGTGAAACAATGCTGATATCTGTAAAGTTCCTCAATTATTCCATATCTGCTGATCATTTCAAACTATTTAAAATATCTGAATAGTTCTATCAGTCTGGAAAGAGCACAGGACAATACAATGTTCGCACCAATATGATTTCATGCAAAGTTTCTAATTACCTTTCTTCTGGAAGATAAATTTCGAAATGAATTAAATCAATTCTTTTATTAAAATTTCAAAGATCTGATGCTTTACATATATTTTCAAATAATCTGAGTTGCGTAATTCCAAAATGTCAATCAGTCTGGAAAGAGCACAGGATGATATAATGTTCGCACCCAATATAGTTTTATAAAAGTTCCTGATAACTGGATAATATTAGTAGACTGTAGCCCCTGCCTTTATTTCGACCTAGAAAATCACATATCTTAATTTTCAATATTAGAAATTTAATTCGTTTAAAATCTGATGCTGAATAAATTAGAAAAACTTTTACATTTTGCGGCATCAAACAAGAGGACAACTGTCGTTTCCAAAATGAATTTATGCAATATAAACTCCTGGCACGCCATTTCATAGAGTCCATCGATCGAACTTAAGGCTGAAAAAACTTGTAACTATTAAAATTACCAAAGAAAAAAGCTTAGGTAAAGCTTATAAAAGAACTGATTCATTGTCATTCTGACTCGGTTAACAAATACCTTGCAGAATTTCTATTCAATCCCTAACTTTAAAAATATCCTCATCTGACAGTTTCCCAGCCCAAAACTCAACTGCAAAAATTCAGTTTTAACAAAGCGGGCCGCACTTCCTGCGGAGAGTTGCTGTGCCTCATTGGGATTCCGAATTAACGTGGTATGAGGCAGGTGGATGGTGTAGTAAGTGGATAGATGTGTATATAGGGAATTTTGAAAATAGACGTTATTGATTATTTGCATAGGTACTTCGAGGTTTTCATCACATTCCGTTTACGGATTTTAACTCCATGGAGTATTCCTTTCAGGAGATATACTAGCAGATTAGTGCATGATGCCACCTCATGATGGACAGTATCTTGTGGAAGAAAAGAGTTGGAGTGAATTACTTTCGCATGCTCGATTATGGCGGAATATTTCAAAGCTAGCTTTATCATTTGTTTGTTAACAATAGGAAAAGAGTAGTCATGCGCTTAAGATTTTTTTTAGCTTTATAAATTTTGTGTTTTCAATTGTAGTATAAAATATTCCGTTATATGACTTTAGATGTTTGTTCTATGGAATTGTTGAAGTTCGATTTCTGATTCCAAAAAACATTGAAAAAATTCTGAAAGCAGGTATTGCTTTATAATTTAAACCATAATTTATAAATTAAGAAAGAATGAATCACAAATCTTTGGGATTTTTTGCAGAAAACGGATGAATATGACACTACACCATTTTTTACTATATCTTGATCATTCGGGTGTGGAACGAATGCTCGCACTGGGTGGATCAGGACAGTCTCCTCAAGAAACCATTTATACAGCGTCATTGACTCGTTCACCGCTCGTTAGCTCAGTCGCCAAATTAACCTTGTCTCCATATTTAAACACTAAACCTAGTAAGGTTCGCGTTTATTTTCAAATTATTTCATCTGTTGAAATAGAAACGCTTTACAGTTGTTGTAGGTCCGTGCTCTACACATTTACTTTCTTCACATTAGGTAATATGCAAAAGTCCTAGATATCGCCGGACTTATACTTTATATAGCTTATAATTATATAAAAAAGAATTTCTCTACGTGACGGCTGCTTTGGAATTTCTTTCCCTTCATTTTAGGGTTTGTAGACAATGCGTTTTCGGGTTGACGGGTTGAGATAGGCTACCTTTATTAAAGTTAGCAAGCTCTCTATATTAACTTATTTAAATGAAATTTACACTGATATTTTTTCCTCATTTACCAGAGTGATAGGAAATTTAATATCAAGGCAAAGTTAGGAAAGGAAAGTATATAATTTTCGAAGTGTGAGAATTTGAAAGAATTGAAGACTAACTTGTACACAAAAGAGCTCAATGTACATATCGCTTCTGCATTTGTAGCATTTGGTTTCTAAGGTAATAAATAAGAAATTTTCAAAAAGTTGAAATTTTCATAATTCTTTGCAACAAATATTTAAATTGGAAATTCAAAGTATGTGGCAAATTTACATTGAATTTCCAATATTGTTCATGATTTTAGCGATTTGCAATTTTTAAAAATGATATGACTTCCGTGTTCATTGTTTTTTTTTACAATGTATGCCTGTCCAGATAATTTTTATGTGTAGGAGCCTAATCTTTAACAGCAGTAGGAAGTTCTAAGGTCTGCCTTAGCACAATTTTTATGCTTTATATTTATGGCAGTCTTTAAAAATTTTAGAGAAAAGTAATGCATTTTGAAATACGGGAATTCAAAATTATTTTTCGTGTGCTGATTTAATGAACACTGTTTGATTATTATGTGTTTCTTTTTTGGTCAAGATGTGATATAAGTTTGTTGAAACAAGCATATTTCAAAATACTAGGAAAACAGAAGGAATAGTTTTTAAATGTCGCAATTTTTTATCAAATATGATGAAAAAAAGTTATTATGACTGCTTTTGCTTTTGTCTTGATATCTAAGGAATTTCAAAGTTGATTATGGAAATAATTTATCAACTGGCGTTCCTAGTTGAGCTGGTTAGCATAAGCATTATATTAGTCAAGTTTAGCTTTAATTCCAGTGTGGACCACCACCTGCTGAATTGGCTGCATTATGTGAGAGACAAAGAACGACAGTTTCATCTGGCATATCGTCATATGATTTCGATCCTGCTTCATCCACACTGTTGTATTCTGATTCTACCAGTTTATATCGTATCCAGGTGCTATACTTATGGTTATCTGGATATTTGAAATACTATGGTTATCTGTAGATCTTTTCTTCTGTGTTCTTCTGCGCAGTTTCCTAATAATACTCCAGTAATTCAATCGAATGGATTTATTGAAAATCTAAATTTTCATTGTTGCCCTTTTATGTCATATGTGGAATATAAGATAATAATATTTTAAATTTTATTGATTTTAAAAGTAGAAAGTATTTCTTGATTCTTTTATAGTTGCAATTTATTTTTCATAATTATTTTATCTATTTTATACCACTCGGCTTTCAGAAAGAGGAACAGAGTATAATAGGAAATGGTATAAAAGGTTGTCCTTTGCATGCGAAACTATGTCCGGTGGACAGCAGCCTGGTAGCGTTTGTAGCAAATTCCAACGTACATATTGATTGGTAAGTGGCATGAGTAGGAACATGATTTACATCCCATCTGTTTAAAATATGTCAGTTTTACGGAAAGTTTAAAAAGTCTGCATATAGTGAGGCGTTTTTTATTCGGTAAAAACTCGATGCATTGTTGCAGTACTCAAATTTTTAAGGAAAGGCAAAGTGATTTACTCGTCGTCAACTGGAGATAATATCATAAATGGATGTTCTTCGTTTATTGCTCAGGAGGAGTTGGATCGATTTACAGGAATGTGGTGGTCTCCTGGCCCGCAAAAAATGCTTCTGTATGAACAGATCGACGAAACAGCTGTTACTGGTTTGCAGTTTGCTGTTCCAGGCTGCTCACCTGCACGACCAATGAAATATCCTATTGCCGGAACTGCTAACGCAATTTCTACATTGCGTTTAATAGTCATCGACGAAAATAAAGTAATTTATTGGTTACGTTTTTCTACTTCAGAAAATTTGGCAGTTTTTTTTTTCAAAAAACTAATGCAGATCCCTAATAGCTGTTTAGCATGCGTTTAAAACCCTTAACTATAAAACCCTTCCGTCATGCGATGACTCCGTTTCTTTTTTAGGTAACTGATGAGAAACTGAATATAGAACTTAGAACAGTTTACCCTTGGTATGAGTACTTGTCACGAGTTGGTTGGTTACCCGATGGAAGCGCGTATGTTTTTGGTTCTTACCGCATTTCATTCATGATTTTTTTCTGTGGTTAGATATTAGAATCATTCCACATCATTATTCTAATTCCATGTTGTTTTCATTAGTCGTTTCATTTTAAGGATTTGGGCTTTGCTACTTAGTCGATTACAAGATAAATATGCGTTGGTTTTGATACCATTGACTTTATTTGAATCGCGAGATAATCAGGGTGGTGCGCAAGTAGTAACTTTGCTGCAAGAACAGTCGGAAATTTGGTTTAATGTAAGTGAAGAATTGATATTAGTATTTCATACTTATTGCAACTTGGATAATGTCTTGAAGGCAATAATATTATTGTCTCTGTCTCTCATTTGAAGAAGAGTAGCTTACATTTGTCCCAACCATTTTCATTTCTTAATTGTGAGAGTATCATTATTTCAGGTGGATAATTTAACTCGGTTTCTAGCTCCAGTTGGAGGAATTCTGCAGTTTATTCATGCAAGTGATCGTGATGATTATACTCACTTATTTCACTACACTGCTAAACTTGATGAGAGTAAGACTCTTTTCCATAGTTTAAGAAATGTTTATTGACGAGGATTTATTGAGTAATTGCTTTGTCTTTTCCATTTATTTTAATGCACTTTTCAGCTCATGTAACAGCCACGTGCTTGTCACGACCAATAACTGCTGGAGATTGGTCAGTTTTAAAAGAACCCGGTTTGTTTGTTGATGAAAAGAGAAAGCATGTTTACTTTGTCGCCAATAAACATCATCCGTCTGATGCTAATTTGTATGTTTCGAATTGGATTCCATAAGGATAAGTAATTAACATTTCCAATTTATCATACTAATGCATAAATATAAAGAATTTTGCATCCCATTTTCATTAAATAGTAGTCTCGCAGTCTTTGACGGTTATTAAATTAACGTTTTATTACATTGTAATTGCAGGTGTGTAGTATGTTACAGCGATTTATCGACAGATTCAAAGATTTTAAGTAGTACTGGTCTTTCATACAGGCATACCTCTTGCTTATTTTTGCAATTTTATAGGAAAACAGCTATTTCGAAACCTTTTTCTGTTAAAGTGCAAAAACTTAAACCATTGTTTTTTGTGTTGTTTGTTAAATATTTTGATGAAATTGTGTAAATTTAAATCACTTTTATTTAAACCGAAGACATACGACGCTGTAATTTGTACTTTAAATTCAAAAGAAACTTTGTTTTAAAATTTCATTAAGGTACGAGCGGATGGAATGTGAACTACAGCTGAATCCGGAAATTGGATTTGTTTGTTGGGAAAGCTCACTGCAAATGCCACCACGATGTGCATTCTATCGATTGCATCATTTAAATGGTGATTGGTTACCAACAGCAACACTGCAGCACCTTATTTATTTGTCTCAGCCAAGTCTTACTAATGAATTAGGTCAAAGAATTGGTTTGTTTTCCATTTCCATTTTTAAGCGCTTTTTTGGCAATTTTTTTAATGGTTTTTATGATTATCACAGCTGTTTTTATATTATTTGTCTGATGTATAAAAACTTTTAGAAATCAAATTACTTAGTTTTCAATTTTTCAAGATATTTCTTAATAGTCGATTTAATTCATCGACTTTCACATAAAAAACTTTTGCTTAAAAACATTTTAGAAAATATGTGTGTACCAAAAGCTGCAGCCAAAGAATATCCTGAACTAATTGAATATCAGTCAAAGAATTCTAAGCGAAAACATTATGCATTGTTACTGAAACCATTTGGAGCAATTAGAGGACTCCAATATCCTGTTATTCAACTTGTTTACGGTGGACCCGGCGTGCAACTTGTTCGTAATGCCTGGTCCACGTTAGTTCATTCCTTTTTCGATGTCATTTTAAAGCTTCATAATGTAAAATACATGAAATCTGAAAAATTGAAAGCATGAGGTGTTTTATAAGACTTTTGAACTTCTCAACACCTGTATTATTAAAACATATGCTAATAGTTTCAAGCAAGATTGAGAAATCTATGGTTTATCATCAGACAGGATTATAATCTCTTCAGTTTTGCTTTCAATTTGTTTGGAATAATTTTTTTATTATTTTTTAGATGGGTCGGATTTCGGAAATTTGCAAGTCTTGGTTACGCAGTGCTTATGGTTGATGGTCGAGGTTCTTCAAATCGTGGCATTTCATTTGAGGCTGCCCTAAAAAATAAACTGGTGAGTGAAAAGGATTGGTATATATAATTCTTTGTGTTGAATACTAGAGAAATTTAAAAATTTTTAAATTTATATAATAGTTAGAAAAACCGTAATTAAAATTTGCTTCTCCTTGCAAAATCCATTTCATTCGTGGTTCATCCTTTTCTAATGATTTTTTTTTTGTTCAGGGAACAGTGGAAATTGAAGATCAGGTAGAAGGTCTTCGAGAAGTAGCGAAACGAACTGATGGTTTATTAGACCTCACTCGAGTAGCAGTAATGGGTTGGTCATATGGCGGTTATCTGGCACTGCTTTGCCTCGCTAAAAGTCCCAACGTATATAGGGCAGCGATCGCTGGTGCTGCAGTTACATGTTGGAGGCTTTATGATACAGCATATACGGAACGTTACTTGGGCTTACCGTCGGATCCTATTTATAAAGATTCTTCAGTTTTAAGTTATGTTAATCAGTTGCCGAATGAGTAAGTGTTTTCTGATATTTCTTGTTTATTAGGCTAAGTATTATAATTTGTGAATAAATGTATATTTCTATTTACGTTTTAAATCTCAACATGCTGAATGAGAATTTTTGTCCTTTTTAGAGTTGATCGTTTGTTAATTGTTCATGGTTTGATCGATGAAAATGTACACTTTTCTCACACTGAGCGTCTCATTGAGGCTTTAATTGCAGCTGGCAAGCCACATTGCCTGCAGGTATTTTTTTAAAGTATAGTGATGAGAAATCATTGATGAAGTGTGGGACTAGACAAAGGGGTTATGTTCGCTTCATCAAATAGCAATTAAATTGCACGCAGAGCATAACAGTATAATTCTTATGCAGCCAATGATTAGAGCAAGAGCATCTTTGGGAAATCTAAAATTAGAATTTACTAATTTTATCATGAAGTTTTTTTACAAAAAATTTGTTTTCCTCATTTTTCTTTCATGACTTTATTGCAGATTTTCCCATCGGAACGTCACGGTGTACGGTCTGTTGAAGCAGGCGAATTTCACGATGCTTCTATGTTATCTTTTTTGTGTCGTGCTCTAGCTGTTGACCATGTGCATTCAAATATTATGCAGAGTACAGAGAACCCATTTTAATGGAATCGTAATTTTTTTTTTAATCAGAAGTCTATTTTTGGATTTCTTTAGGACAAATGAGTTTTCTTATTTCAGCAGACTCCATTAAATTTTAATTTTAAAATTTTAATTTTAAAATAAGTTATTCTTTTATTTGATCAGCTTCTGAGAATGTTATCGCTGTGTATTGTATGTCTGTTTGTATACCTTTAAAATTTTGCAAATGTATTTGCGTTTTCTACAGTTACAAAGTTAGCTACTATTGTTAAGTCGTTCACCTCATTAATTTATCAATTTATGCATTCATAGTGTTTCTAAATCCGAGGCTTATAATTATAGTAATTTTGTAGACTTCTCGTTATTTACTTTAAGAGGTCCGATCAATTAAAAACTACATATATAATTATATAGCAAAATATGATTATAAGCATGATACTTTACACTCATCTCTTTTTTGGTAATATAAAATCTATGCTAACTTTTCTAGAAATTTTTAGAAATACTTGTCGCATTTCTTTTCAAGCTTTTGTCGTATATGGCCTGGCCATCAATATTTCCTTCTTGTATGTGGAAGGTTTTTGATATTATGAATATAATATGTAAAAATTGCACAATCTTTCTACTTTTGCGATAATAATCAGTTAGCTTTCGCTTTTCACAGATTGCAAAGTTAATTTGTTAAGTTGATTTATTATTAATTCCCCTTTCCAGAGCATTTGTACTTCAAATGTTAACTTAGTAGAAATGACTAGCACGAAATTAACTGAGCATTCAAAATGACAAAGTGGATTAAGGCACTCAGTATTTACATCATGAAAATATGTTGAAGGTGGATCCTTCTGTATGTTTATAGAATTTCTTGTAATGTATTTGTAAAGGGATAAATAATGTACTGAACAGTGTTAAATGTATGAAGATATATTTGAGATTATCAGCTTAGAGAATAGAAATGTTATTACACCTACCTACTCCTTCGTAGGTGCAGAATCTCATAACCGCAAAGTGTCGCACAACTGACGACCTTATACTGATTGCAGTCCGGCCGAACCGCGTTTCATATCGGTTGGTGAAGGGATGTGAGAGCGTAACGTTCGGATGGGTGAGTACTAAGGTGGGGGAAGATTTAGTCTAATAAGTAATTTATTTTGACGTCCGTACGAAAGACATCAAGAAAGTAAGATTAAACAGAATAACACACACTTCCTTGTACATTCTTTGCTTTGTATCATCATAGAAAACTAGATGAAAATGCGCTATGAGAGTAGTTTAACTGAAAAGGTTAACTGAACACTATTAATTATTTACGGTGTCTCACTGGTGAGTAGACATTATCATATCCGATTTGGGAAACCAAAGCTTCTAGGAGTTAAGGAAACTGTTCAGGAACTTTTGGGGTGAAACATAATTTGCTAACTCTGATTGAAATTGTCGGCCTACATGGTAGTGGTTTATGCACAGTCAATGTTGAATTAGATTTTCAGGTCAAGTTTGATAAGTTAATCGAACTAATGTGGCAAGATGTCTACGAACAGCTCGTATTTAGCTGCTAAACAGATTTGCTCCGATGAAGTTTACAAGGGACCATCATTAGTATCTGAAAAGAAACTTGGTGTCAACAGGGAAAAAGCCAAACAGTGGACGTATTACATCGAAACACTTAATCGAACCATCGATTGCATCTATGAAATATGTCATAAAGAACAAACCGTTAATGGATGCAAAGTCTCTAATTATCTATCATTAAATTAAATTTATTAATATTGATATATTAACCACTATTCAATTAGAGATAATAAATTTGAATTCTAAGTGAAGTCATGGTCATACTGTCGAAGCTCAGTTGAGGTTAATGGATCTTTGGAGTTGGAGGAAATAAGAATCATGGATTAATTGTTGGCTACATTTTTTTTCCTGTTCAGGAAGCGCTGATGTATCTTTCGAATTCTGTTCGCGATTTCGAATCACTCATCAAAACAATTCAGCTGGAAGTTGATTGGGATGAAAAAAGTAGCAAGTACATACCTTTTCTCACTTATATTTGTCGTACACTCAGAAATTTTTATTAGATAATCGATCAAAAAGTGCGATTTACATGAATGAAAATAACCATTTTTGAATATGGAGCTTGACTGTTTGATCTCTGCAATTCATGAATTTGTAAATGTCCCCTCTCTCTTAATTCCTTTATTCATTTTGTAGACGCCATGCAGTCGCTTGGGAAATTCGAAAAGCAATATCACCACCTGGAAAGACAATCGTTGAAGGACCGGATAAAAAGGATGCTGACAGTCTCATCAATATGCTTAAACTGTAACTCTTCGATTTTCTTCTTTGGCTTCCGGAACTATTTTGTTTGGGAAGAACATTATATAATCTCCTAACATCAAAAGGGTTACAATTGTGGGATTTTCTTCAGATTTGCAATGTATGTTTCAAACAAATGCAAGTCAGATATAGAGTATAAAATGCAATATATTCTCTTCTATGCTTGTGTAGCAGGCCAAAACAAGAAATGGGAGTTTTTGATTGTAGCAATAACGAATGGTCCCGCTTTTTGATTAAATCTTATTATATCATATTATATCATATCTTATTACGACATTACTGTCATCATGGTCTGGGATTGAAAAGTTAAGCCATAAAAGTCCTTAATAATATTTGGACAAAAAATAGGAACCAATCAAAAATTTAAAAATCACTTTCCTACGAAAGTGATTCCTCCTATGTTGTCTAATACTGCTCGCTGTGTCTGTTATACCTTAATGATGTCATTTTTTTTGGTTCCGCATGTTTTTTTGGCTTCTTTCGCCACGTAACTCTTCTAACTTTTGACATGGTTTTACTTCACTCTTTCAAAATTAGTTCGTGTTTCAAACGTTCAAAACACTTTTTACTCTATAGTGTGATTTCGACATATGCAGGTATCATTAACAATTGAATAAGTATTTTTCCAACCTTAAGTGACCTTAAGTGTTGATTCCATTTATTTATTGTTCCTGTTCAACAAGTATTAATAACGCAATAAATTATATATCTTCGCATTGCGAAGTAACAGTTTTTTTTACTAGCGCTTTCTGTGATATCTTTAGAATATGAAATCATAGTTTAATTTGGGTGCAAATCAGAATATGAGCTTAACTGTTTGATGAATTTACTGCTTGTCTTAAGAAGTCTTAAGATTCGATATATATCTGCTCATGTTACTTGAGTGAGTTACTAGAGACTCAATTTAGGAAGCAAGAGGAGCAATGTATTGTTTAAATGCATAATTAGTGGGTTCAAATTTGTACTTGCTTTGAGATTGGAAATTCAATTGCTTTTAGTAGGCTTACTCGGATTGTTTGCAAGAAGCTGATGTTGAAGTCCTTATATTCTTTTAATACTCGAATAATTGGTTTTTGAGTAACAGTTCTCCGTTGCATTTGATAGCATCGATTTAGCCGTATTACACTTTTTTGGTGTCGGGAAACATTTGAATGCAAGTTTATCTTTTTACATAAAAAGAGAGTTAATTTTTAGCGGAGTTTTTTTGAAGTACATTTGGAATATTGTCTAAGTTAAGATTCCTTTTCTACAGTAGTAATTATGGTGTCGCGAATAAAGTCTGCTTGTCTTTTCCTTGTTATCTGTTTCTTTTTCTGCGACTTAGAATGATATGTTTGTTTTATTTTGAAAGCAGATTTGTTTGACTCCTTTAGTTCGGTTACATTACACAACAGGATTTTCAAGCACTTATAATTGGGCCATTTAAAATAGATCAACTAATGAATTACTTGTGACGGAGTGTAACACAGTTCACGCACAACTTCGGACTCGACCATACCATAATCTCAGTGGTTAGTAGTTTTAATACTTGAAGTAAGGCTAAGATGTTTTCTTTTAAATGAAGGAACAATAGATTGATGCTGAAGTATAGGTTTATTTTCATAATGCTGATGTGACCTTGATATTTTATTAATTCGTTGAGATTACTTTGCTGGTTCACGACTGTTGCATGAAATATTTATGATATGAAAATCGTAAAGGTTTTTGTAAGTGTACAGATAAAGGTCAATATAAAATACATTAGTTTTGACTAACTCCGTTGCAATTCATACTTTTGATTAATTAGCATAAGTTTTTTTTCCTTTGCAAAAGGATTGCCGTTTTCCTTCATCATTATTTTTTGTGCTTGTTAGAAATTATTAGATTATAGACAGCTGACTCTGCTGCTGACATTTTAAGCATTCTTTTATCGTGATAACAATACCATCATTCCCCACATGTGGTCTCTTAATTTTGCGATATGAAGCTACTAGCTTGCTCTTTGTGGTGAACATCATAAATTTACCATACTATCGGCAAAATACATATCATTCGATAAATATTGTCATATGTAATGCTGTGTTGCAAATACTATATTAGTATTCTCGAATTTTCTGTTTTGAAAAGGTTTCTCCTTAAAAGTTTAAATTTTTCAATATCTCACATTTTTCTGCAAGAAAATTTGTATTACTTGTACTCTAGGTTCGACGGACTATTTCGCACATATATCTTCATCTTTTAATGAAGTAACATTTTTTGATACATTATGTATGTAATGTGGCTGGTTGCAGATCTCCAATCGTTGTGCATGAAGTTGTACAGAGTGCGGAAAAAAAAATGAGTGCCAAAATACCAGAAGTCGCACCATCTGTATTCTCTTCAACAGCAATAGTACAGCACAATGAAGTATTATCGGATAAAGAGAAGGGGATAGAACTAAGCAAGTTTTATTCCTTTTTACTGTTTTCTTTCAAGTTTTATTCTTCATTTTTCATTTTCTTTATCTTTGTATTACTTTTCGTCGTCAGTAAATTCAGTAAGTCCAAATACGTCTTTGTTGTGTTATTTTCTAATTATGCTTCGTGAAAATCTGAAGCTAATTAACGGCTGATGACACCAAATGGAATAGATATAACGAACTTGTTTCAGTATGCACAAAGTGACATGTATTCATACGTCTTTACATTTTGCCTACATGGCAGTCGATATTTAATGTGTCTCAATGGCCTGACATCTTTGTAGGTGTTGCATTATCACTTTCTGAATCCACTTCTTAAATCTTCCATTCTTTTACATATTCTCTCATTTAATATTAATTAACCAGCGAAGAAATTTAATTCTGATAGTATCATTGTGGGCATGCTTTGAACAATATGTCATTAATAATCCGACTAAACGCTTCGGTTTTTGAAAAATTTTAAGGGTTCATATAAATCCACAAAGAAATATGCATTCTTTCTGCATATACCATTCATTTACAGCAATGAAAACTTATTTTTAAATTTGTAAATGGATTCTTGGAAATCTAGGATCTGCTTTCATCAGAACAGTCTTTTTTTTGTAGAAGACCAGGGTGATGATGGATGGCGTTTAGTAACGACGCGACACAGGCGGCGAAAGAGTGGTGAAGCCGATTCTATTCTGATTAATAACAAAGAGGAACATAGTACTGCAGTGACGGTACTTATTTTAAATTTGATATTTCAATTGTTTTATTTGAAGTTTTGTCATTTGCGGTTATAAAAAATCAGGGTTTAGTCGTTGATATTTTTATGCAGAATGTGCAGGCGTCTCCAAAAAGGACTTTTATGAATGTTTATGAGCGTTTGTCTACCGGTGTTCTTCGGCCTCCGAATTTATCGACTCGTACGCCTGCTCTTTCTGAATCAGGTGGACGAGGCTTAATGTATCCTAGATGTGCAATGGATTTACCACAGACAAAAGTGAGTTGTGAACTTTTACCAAATTTCTCGATCAAAGTCCTATTCAACAATATGAAAAAAAATTTCTTTATCCGTTTTTTATGGTTATTTCCAGTTTATTGTTTATAGTTTGTTGCTTTCTAAATGAAATGAAATGAGTCAAGTGAAAGAAATATATTGTCTCAGGCGTCTATGGCAAAAGTGGCATATTGTCGACAGTTATTGTGGAAGAAACATCAATCAGATTTGGCAGAGAAGATGGAACGAAGACGTCGTCAAGATTTGCAAAGTGCTCGCAAATCTGGTTCCGTTCCTGCTCTGTCGGCAATTAATTTTGCAGATCCAGATGCTGTTTCACGTAGTGCTGCAGCATTCAAAAATCGAAAGGTATTTAGGATGTTTTATTTCCAGCTGCGGTTATTCCTGAGATTATTCTAGAGGCGATATAAAATGAGGGATCATGGGATAATTTTACTCCTTATTTGTTTAAAGCTCATTTTTTAAGGCTGTAAGCTGTTATCATGTGTAAATTTTTTTTTTTTAAAGTTATCGCTGCAGAAAGTATTGAAAAAGGATGAGACTGCTGGAATAATAAAGGAACGAAGTACACCGGCCAGTTTTGAGCGCATAGAGGTAGATGGCATATTATGTTTATTTATCTTTGTTTCTAATGATATTTATGATCGTTCCTGCATTGTTAGATAAATTTGCTGTCTGTTTGTCTGATTTAAGGAATTACCATCGGAAAACGACGAAGAACGGGAAAACATCCCTGCTCATCTGGAGGATTCAGTTGTTAATCATCCCAGTTCAGATTACTTTACTCATAGCAGGTAGCTGAAAAAAACTACAGCTTTATATTACATTAAAAAATCCCTTGTATCGAAACCAGATTTTATTCAAGATCTGAACCACCGCTATCCGAATTAGTGCTGCCCGATGATATAGATGTAGATGATGCGTGGAGGGCAATGACAGAAGAGGAAGAATCGTTGGTGCAAGAAGAAGAAAGTTTAAAGAAAGAAATCGAAGAGGTATGCTGTCGAATTGTGTGCAATATCATCGGAAAATTATAACAACTTTTATCATTTTATCTTTTTGATTTTTATACAAAATAGCTTCTTTCATTTTAGAATTTGTTCCGATTGAAATTAATGAACTAAAAATTATCACAGGAAGAAAGTATTTCCATTGATGATGAATTGGAACGACAAGTGGCTGCTGAAGCTGCGGCATTGGAACAGTTGGAAACTGAGGTGGCTGAAAAGGTAGATTGTTAAATTGCTTGTATTTTGTTTTTATTATTATATTTATATTGTATTGCTTGTATTTTGAATTCATTCGTCGTTAGTTTAAATCTTACTACATGAAACTTATAGAACAAAGGAACCTATTTTATTCTTTTTATCCAATGGAGGGTAATGAATTATTTTGAAATCATGAATAAAAGAAAGTTTCATTACTATGACCTGTTTTTAACTTATGAAAAATTTTCGTAACGGAGCGTAGAAATGAAATATTTCTTTTTATGTGGGAAATATTTTTTAGCATAAATGTGAGGGAACTACTAAGACAGAATCATGCAGTAACAGAAAAGCCCCAGTAACATGGCAAGATGTCGTTAACAATTGGAAACGTTTGTTTTCATATGCGTTAGATATTTGCTTTATTTATTCCTACTTTTTGTTCGTTCGTTTTTATTTTTTTAACGATTACTATATACCCAATTCAATTTGTAGAGGAAATGGAGGAATATGCGTCGATAAGTTGGAGTGAAATTGTAGAAAGAGAAATCACTCGTTATCGTAAGCCGGGTGAATTTGCTGAAAGGCATGAAAAATTATCTTCACCGAGCAGGAAAAGGCAAATTAATATTTCTATTAAAGATCCACAAGTTCTAAAATTCTAAAGTGTGTATGTTACATACTTCTAATTCTTTTAATTTTCGGTTCCATCTTTCGAATCCTTATAATTTATTTAAAGAAAAAGTGAAGATGCGACAAAACGACATAAGGAACGGCAAAAAAGAGCTGAAGAATTGCGTCAAATGTTGCAGGAGCAGAAAGCTCGACGATTGAAAGAACTGTCCAATAAGGTTGATGCATTTTTTCATAAAGCTTGGACAGTTTGTTTTGAACGCAGAAGAGAAATTTAGAGTTATCGAAGTTTCCTTCTATTAGTGTTGTAGGTAGAAGAAGTACGGCGAAAGCGAGCTGAACTAAATGAACGGAAACGTGAGCATTTACAGATGCGCATGGCAAAGGCTGAAGAAAATCGTCAAAAAAGTATTGAGGAAAAAGTGAAAAAAGCACGAGATGATGACGTCAAGGTTGGATAATGGTTTAAAGTTTAAAATTCATATGCAGTTTGTAGAATTCGGTGGTATTTATTTGCTTTTTGAAAGATTAAGTTATTTTTAACTGAGATTATTATGCTATCGGGATTTTGCGACCTTAAATATTTTGAAATATTAAAAAACTGTTAACATCATAGAGGAAATTGTAAGGGAGATATTGGAAAACCTGAAGACTTTTACATAAAAAGTTCTGTTTTTTTTCAAGTTTTTTGTTTTCTTTTATGTTCATTTTTTGAATGTTTTGAATGAATTTTGCGACCTCAAATAATTTTGAAATAAAAAATTATTAACAGGCTGCATTTTGCAGGTTATGGAAGTGCAGTTCATCAATACAATAGAAGCAGATAATATGAGACATGATGTTATGATTCGTAGTCAGGAATGGGAGCATAGAGTACAAACGATTGCGAGTGAACGGGCTAGGAAAAGTGAGGAAAAAGCTGCTAAAGAAGCAGCAGCTGAAGAACGCCGAAAAATCGCAGAAAATGTAGGGTTTTACTTCACTATGTTTTTTAAAATCCACTTATATGCTAGGATAACAAAAAAACTGAACGTGAAAATAAAAAACGATCGGACATATACATAATCTCAATTATTGTAGCAACGAAGAGAAAAAATACGAAGAAAATTCGTGAAACACGAGCTGCTCGAAGCACAACGTAACGAACAAGAAAGGGAAAGAAGTGAAGCTGCTCGAGAAAGAAATAAGTAACGTTTACTACACAGAAATGTTTTTGTAGTTGAAATTTGCTATTAAATCATTAATTCATGAATTGTGATTATGTTTCAGGCAACTGAATGAGCGCGTCGCAGAAAAGAAAGCAACGGAAGCTGTTGAAAGTGAAAAATTAATGAAGAAGATCCAGAAAAAGGTTAATATTTCCCTCCTTTAATATAATTAAATACCTGATACATGAATCGGATCTTTCATATATTTTACGTGTTAAGATATCCTTTATGTTTTTTTTTTTGTTAATTCAATTATATATTAAGAATGAAATTGGAAAAAACAAGGAGCAAAAAAAATTTTTGTAAGTTCGTCATTTTTCAGCAGGAAGAAACACGTCGCCGTTATGAGAATACTTTGACACAAGTGAAACATCGTGCTGTTGAACTAAGTAGTCCGAGACCTATGGAATCAGTGATTTCTTTAGTCGACTTTAGTCAGATACCTTCGGAAACCTCTTATGTTTCAATGCTCGAGGGGGCAATTGATGGTGGAAGCTCGAAGAAATGCAAGCTTTGTGATACTATAGTCAGCTCTTTTTTCATATTTCGAGAGGGCTTTGATGTTTTGTGATAGTTTTGAATGAAGCATATGTGAGGGGAGGCGTTTAGCTCTGTCAATTCACTATTCAAAAGGATAAGGGTTGCTCTTTCATCTCGTTATTCGCAGATTTCCAAATAGAAAGTATTTTTTTGGTTCCTTTTTAGAATTGGACAGAAATAATGTCACTTAGTTCATGTTCTTTGAGTTCTTATTGATTTCTTTATTTAAATTTATATTGTAGTTAACAAGCTAGACTTGTGCTCATGCCTAGTATTTTAGCTGGACAGTGATTTTTTAATTATGTCGCATTTCCTTAGCACTTCTCATCTATCGAAGGCAAATATTGACATCAAAAAACTAACTTATGATTGTTTGGTATGTAAATTTCTTGAATTTTTTATAAATGCTCTCTGATATATATATAGAATTTTATAATGTAAATATAATTCCGTCTTGCTTTAAATAAGCTTTCGGATTAGAATTTTTAAATTTGAAGCCAACTGAATTTTAGTTTAGTCATTTTTTAGAAAACACAGATTGACCAAAATACTGAAGACGTTAGTGTTGAGGCAACCAGGCAACTATCTTTGGGAGGCGAGAGTGAAGTTTCAAAACAAAGTACGAGTGCTAAAAAACGTCGAACCCGTCTTCGACAGAAGATCCAGGCGAGGTAGAAGATAAGCTATAAAGCTATAATTAGCTTGGAGTTTATCCAAACGTCAAATCAGATTTTCATATATATTTTGCAGGGCCAAAGAATATGAAAGCGTGATTGGACGGAGTGATTTATCTGAAGCTTATCGGACTCCGTTCGGAAAGACAAGGTACTTTGCTAGTTAAATGCAGTGCGTATTATAGTTTATGAATTAATAGATTAAATTATAATCACGCAAATCATATAAATTTTTCTGAAATTAAAATATAAACATTATAGTATTGATCGGCCTCTTCGGGATATCGCAAAAGTGTTAAAAGCAACTTTGGGAGATGGTGAAATTAAGGATCGTTGCAGTGGATTGGTAAAGGAGTCATTCCAGAGTAAAGTTTATCCAAGCACCGATCTGCATATCCTTGAAAGGTCGCTATCCGAAATTCTGCGAGCATTGCGAACATCCGACACGGCATGTTTCTTGGTTTTTTTAGAACTCGGGGTGTATCGGAAACGATGAGTCAAATTTTTTCTGTTTGATTTTCACAAAAATTTAATTACTTTTGACTTTTTCGTATTCTAGCTTCCTTAATTTCAGCTGCAAAAACGTGAAATGCTTTTGAAAGCAGTAGTGCAGAATGATTTTATAGATATTTTGACGGCAATGATATCCTGTGCAACTAATGGCAGCACAGTCATACCTTCTAGGTTGCAGTTTACGATCATTTTAGTCATAAAGTTTTTCTTTTACTATCGTTAGATGAAGCGTATAGTGCATTCACTAAGAGAGTTAGTTTTCTATACTAATGAATAAATTGTTTTTCTGAATTCTCTAGAAGCCATTTGTTAATAGGATTTTTTTGGAAGTGTTCTTGAAAAAACATAATGGAAGGATGCATGGTGCCACATCTTATCATTTGTAGTTATTTTTCTCGATTTTAGGATAGTTTTATGGGTACCACTGTGCTTCTAGGTCCGCGTCGTTATTATTTTTATTGTGTTTATATTTGCAGAACCTATTGTAAAGCTTTGTCCACCCTTGGAGAACTTGCCACCATCGATAAATTTATTGCTTCAAAGTTCTTTTTCTCCAATCGCATCTTTGCACTTTTAGATGCATATTGCATCAAGTCTAGAGTAGGTTGCTTATCAATTATTTTTTGTTCTTGTTCATACTGGTGGCCATGATTATACTTTAATTTCATTAGAAATTTGCTTTCAATCGTCACATTAATATAACCTTCAAAGAATTATTTTTGAAAATTTTAAGCTGCATCCCAGAATCATTTTCAATGTTTTTAAAGAAGTTGATTCTAAGTCTTCATGTATTTAATACCTTACGTAATTTTTGTTTTTCATATGATGGTTTGGCAATTTTTAAAAGAAACCTCGCACATGCCAACCAATGAAGGATCTCACCGACTTTTAATTGAATGTGTTGTGTTGTGTTCGACGTTTTTATGTGTCATGGGTTCTTTGTATCCAAAAGTCAAGGGAGAAGTTTCAAGTAGTGCAATCGTATTTGGTATCACAGATGACGACATATACGTAAAACTGTTGCTGAGGTTTTATTTTCATATGTTTCTAATCATTGTGATCGATTAATAAAGTTGGTTACTTTTTATGAAAAAATTTTAATAAAATGTTGCATACCCAAAATTGTTGCATACCCTAATGCACAAAACCATATAATTCCGTTAGGATATTTCTACAGCAGAGTCATGGCTTTGATTAAATAGAGAGTTCCTTCTGCTGATATCTATTTCATTAGTGCAATATAGAACGATGTCAATTATTTCATTGATTTCGACAAGTTCTTATGTCGAAAATCCATTTTATTAGTGGCTTCCATATTCAGCTTACTAATGCTTTAATTCTATAGCTTAATTCATTCGAATGGGTATGGCGATGCTCTTTCTCTCCTCATCAAACACACAGGCACAATCGATGCACTACCTTGGTCAATTCAACTTGATTCTAACGCAATAGCGATACCTATCATGGTTTATATTGGTATGATTTTGGAAACTGGAGAAACACTTTACCTACTCGGATGTAAGAGAAGGTTTGTTGGCTAATGACAAATGTGTTTTATCAGAAAATATTTTTGCATGTCGTATTATATGAATTTATTTGACGCTTTGTTCGACCAGCAACTTTTTGAAAAGTGAAGATAAAGTGAAGAAAAGTGAAGACCTTGCTGTTTTATCACATATTGCATTTAAAAACATCTCTTATGTGTACATCCATTCAGTGAGGTCCTATGGTTATATAATGCCATAATTATTGATTATATGATTATTATATGATGATTGAAAATCGTTACTCACAACTGCTGAATAAAAGCAAGAACTTGATTTGTTGTAAAATATTTTTATTTTGATCTCGTTTTGGAGAAAGTCCAGTTTTTGAAATTCTAAAATGACAAGAATAGTAACCGAAGTCAGACTAATATATTCTTTTATTTTCAATGTTTTAAAGAGTTTTGAGTGTGGGAATGCTTTCATTCTGCAGGCAGAGTAACAGCACTGTAAGTTTTTCGTCTAAGTCCAACTATTTCTCTTGCTAAAGTTCATTATTTATTATATTTTAGAGGAAATGAAGCAGATGGATCATGTGAAAAATCGCCACTTATAAGGTAAGTTTGCTAGAATTATCTTTAATTTAATAAGCTGGTGACAAATCGAAATCCGGTCAAGATTTGTTGCTTTTTATTTTACAGTACTGCAGCTCCCGCAGCAATTCAGCAGCTCGCAGTTCGAATTTATTCAATGATATCGTCAGATTGCAATTCGTCAGTTACTGCCACAGTATCTGTTGTGTCGACAGAAAATCAACGTGAAGAAATTTATGTTACTCAGTTATTGACGACATCACTTTTCCAGCTCTGGTTTTTGCTTTTGAAAAGGGAATCGTATGAAGCAATCGTATGTATTTTGTTACTGAATATTTTGCACGAGTTTTGTTATTTCTTACTGAATTTGATTTTCATCTACCGCGAATGATAAAAGCTTTCTGCTAATTGTTTTATAGATGATTGCTCTTGCAATAATTTTGAATGAACTCTAGAATGGTCTTGTCCTCGGAATCTTGTAGTTCGTGATGCAATGGGCAAAAAACATACAGGGATCCTTTTCTTTCTTTTTCTATGAAAGTCGTTTCTTCTCTGCAGAAATGTCTCGAAAACAGTGAACTTTGTTTACGATTGATTCACATCACTATGACAATGGTGGCTCAAACTGAGAAAGTTATTTCTGCAAATGCGGAATCGCCAAATTCGAAGGCTACGGAGAAACGTATTAGAAATTTTCTTCATTTCCTTATTGAAGTTATTGGATATTTTGCAACTGCCAATGAACGGGCTAAAGTTAGTTTTCCTCAAATTAACTCAAGTAGCTCAAAATTTCCTCAAACAGCTTGATTCAAGTATTTGGTAGGTATTAGAAACTTGAATGAAATTCAAAGAAATAGGAACATGTCACAAGATTGGATTTTTCATGATCATAGATGTATCAGAAAGTATGTTTCACTTCTGTACTGAATTACTGGATACATTTAAAGCAAAACATTTTGATAATGATTCCTCGAATTTGGAATGAAACTGATTATGAAAAATATCTTTTTTTAATGTTGATGATGTCAGTAGTCCAATTCATCACTTTCAGTGATACTTGTGTGGGACAGCAAGTCTTACTCCATCTATGTTTTACAGATGTTTTGTGTACTTGGCTGGCAACGTTCATTGTTAATGCAGCTTGTTTCTTTACCACTGGGATATTTTTCAAATCGTGAATTAATGGCAATATTGATGCCAACTCTGATCGCTATTTGCTATCAAAATCCCATGGCAATCGATTTAATCAGGCCATCGCTCAGTGCAAAAACTTTTGCAATATATCTCGAAGTTAGTTTTCGGTTTCAGCCAGCAAAATGTTGCATTTTCTCATCATTTCTGAACCAATTGGCATTACTTATATCAATTAATCTTCAGTTGATCTTGTTTCTCCAGTTTGAATGAGTTTGATAGAAAAAGGTACATTTGCTGTGGATTTAAGAACGAATCAATTTAGATTTTGGAATTTCGCATGCCATTCAAATTTATTATTAAAACTAAGAAATTTCCCAAAATCCGCGAGATTGAATAGTGCAATTAAATTGTAGGCAGCTCAAGATGAGCATTTTCCGGAACCAGCGCGATTTCCGAAGAAATTTTGGTCGAGTGCAATAAAATATTTCAACAGTTGTTAAAATAGTAAAGTATTTCAACAATAACGTATTTTATGGTAACAGTAATTTTATAAAAGCACATCGGGTAATGAAAATTGAATCGATGAAAAAAGAATGATGCCTGCAAAGTTTTAACTTGTATTTATGTTTTTGACTAATTTCTTCAGTGCAGTTGTTACTCTCTTTTTTCTCGTGTACAGATCCCAACTTATTTCATGTTGCATATGATTTAATCATTTTTTTTAATCGTTTTATCTTGATATCGAGTGAATCAATACCAATTCTATTTTGCATTGTCAAATTGATATTGCAGCATATCTCGACTGCTCAGTCATATCTTTTGTTCCCTTCATTTTTCCCTTATTCTTTAGTTTTGGATTTTAGAATGAAAAATTATAAGGTGTTGAAAAATGAATCTTTTTTTTGTTATGCTTAGCTGTCATGGAGAAGACAGTATTGCTGTAATGCAAGCAATAATGAGGTTTATGCTACATAACTTTCTATTGTTTTGGCTCCTTATCTTTCAATGATAGTGTTTTAGCATATGGCCGACAGGTTGTAAGGAAGATAAGTTCATTTGCTATGAATCAGTGATAGTAACTATTGTACATTCAGGCAAGAATTACGAACAGAAGACAGCAAAATTGATATTGTGCATATAATTTTATTGAAGTTAGAAAGATTTTTCAAATCCATCAATATTAGGATTTAAAAAACAGAAAATCATGTTTCATATTCACATAGATTATTCTTAATTGAGAAAAGAAAAAGCGAAAAGCATAATAGAATCGTGTAAATTAAGTTCTTTATGAGCTTGAATAATAAAAATTTTTTGGATTGCTGTTAAGATTTTGAATACTGGATGTGTTTTCTTCTGCACTTGCATTTGCGATCTGAATACGAATATGTCAAATAATTTGATTTTCAAATAAGTTTGAGAAAAGCGATTCTTACAACAGGATATTCGGGCAATTGATCGTAATGGTGGGATTGCAGCTAAATTTTATAGATTGTTCCATGTGCGAGGAAAAATTTTTGGATATCACTGATAAAAGAGCGAAGGAGCTGGATATTGAATGGTTCAGGTCCTTTCATCGGTGTACTATGATGAGTACTTTCGGTTCATATTTGGATCATTTTGAAGTAGAACAGCTTCATTCGTTCATGCAGTCAATATTTGAGGCTGTGTTGAAAAACTATGTATGTGATGCGAGTTTCGAAATAAGTGTTGAGGAAAAGAAGAAGCGCAAACTGTTGATGCAATGTTTGGTAAACGCGGCAAATTGTTCACAAAAGTAAATATACCTTATTAATGTTTGGAGTAGCAGTTCGTATTGCTTGATCAAAGAGGTAGTGTAGTTAATAAGATTTGAAATTCGATATTGAGGTATTTTGCAATTTTTGGATAATTGATCATCGTGCATATTATGTCATTATCGTAAAATGCATATTTCTTTTGTAATCTTTAATATAATGTATCTGAAGCAGCTGAATTGTTTATCAGTTAACTTGTTTTGATTCTCGCTTAAAAATGTTATAGAATATATTTAATTTGTTACGGCTGGAAGTTTATGATTTGATCTACATTTGTTTTTATTTAGTCATCAACTGTTAAACTGATAAAGATCTATAGGTCTTTAAACGTCTCAGACGCAGCATTGAATGAATCCACCCAGTAAGAAATTAATTTTTTTCTAAGGATTTATTTTTTGCTGAATAATGTTGATATATATTTTACTTCAGGCTTCGTTCATGTGCTGATGAGTATTCAGAGGGTTGTCTGCGAGCGATTCTGAAATTGGAATGGTTACAAAATGAAGCGTTTGCTGCAGTGATCAATTTTTCAAAGCCTGAAAATGGCCGTAATCATTTATTGCAGTTACTTTAAGGGCTCATCTCATGTTTAAAATTGTGATCATTCTGAAATCGGAAACTATTTTTCTTAAATATATTTCTTCTCATTAGCTTCATTAGATCAAAAGTCTGAAAAGTAGTTTGGGGAACACAAGCGCTTATTCTTAGTGAGACGAGTTCATCTATTTCATCGTTCCTTAGCTTAATTTCTTATAAAATTTATTATGTGTATTGTAAGTAGTCTAGTTTTAGTTAATTTCCAGCAATTTTAAACTTGCTGCAAATTTTATAGCATTTATTTGCAGAGATGTACTATCAGATTGCCTTTGAATGTAGCATCTTATGGAATCAAGTTTGCCGTGATATTAAAAAGTTTGTGTGCTAATTAATTTTTCTGACGTTGAAAGTATGAAATTTTAAGATTTATTATCTAATTTCATGTAATTCATGCACTGATATTATGATGATTTTTCAGATTAGAAAGTGGCGAAGTGAATACGTCACCACGGAAAAGTAATGAATCTCGAAATTGTAAGACCCTGACAAAAGCTTATGATAAAAGGTTGATCTGATGATTTTGACTCACGAATTGTTTCGTGTATAATTTATTATAAGCAGGGTTAATTTCTTACTTTTTCGGGAAGTGATGTTTGGGGAATAAGTGAAAAACAAGTTTAGAAGTCGTTAATCTCTTTTATCATCTTATAATCCTTCAATTGAAAAAATTATTCGTGCAGGTCTTGGTTATTAGCAGTATTTGCTAAGTATTTGGAACTTAATGATGACTTTCTCTCTGTTTGTGGTGAAATCTTTGGGCTTTCTTCTATTGGTACATTTATTGACATTGTCGACACTTTGATGGAATTTGGTAAACAAGGTTATAATATTAAAGTTAGTTACTATCCTTATTACTTTTATGTTATATCTATCGAAGATCTTGTGTATTCGCGCCCAAAATTGGAAGATTTCAAGGACCTTTTCAACCAAAGCAGAATATTTAAGTGTATCTTTTTTGTCTGCAGTTAATAACGTGGTCATATCTTCACATCATTTAAGCTTGAGCATACTTTTTTGATTCATTTTAGTTTGCTGCTGGAAATGTAAAATGTATGTTAACATTCTTGGAGGAATCACTAATGAAATTTGGCACGTTTGAAAAACGTAGTGAAATGGAAAAATGCAAAGAGATGTGCAATTTTAATAATATCTTCCGCATTCATGTTCTGCTGGAAATGGTTTTGGAATTAGTTTCTATGGAGCAGTATCAATCAATATTTAAAGCGGATATAACAGCTGCGAAATTGATTCTTCATATAATTGAGGGAGTATGTCTTCTATCACTAAATTGATTTTGTATATGTTTTGATTTTGTGGAATTATTTTAATACATTACAAATGTATAGATTTGAATTAAGCAAGAAATGAACTAGATCGGAAATTTGGGGCAAAAGTAGCTTATTTATTTAAAAACTTCGTGAGAAATGCGATATGCTTTTTCTTTATGGATGTTCAAATTTCAATAAGAACGAAAATTGAATCTCAATTATCCCTAGTAGAATTTTTTTTCTTGGTCATAATGCTAGTTTTCCTTAGAGATTAAGAATTGTTGGAAAAGAGAAAACACTTCGTTTATTAAATTAACTACTTAATAGTTTTGCCTGTTTTTAAACAAATTTTTTTCCAGATACTGCATTACGAACATTGTAAATACCAAAGTCAAACATACATTTCCAAATGCCAAGAAAAATTCAGCGATCGACCTGGAATTAAACTGCTGTCAAGGAATGCAGCTAATATAGATTGTATCTATAATTTTGCTATAGCTTTAAGGTTATCCTTCTTTACTTTTCGTGCAACTGACTGTCCGCATGTTCGTTTGATTTGTGCTATAAGCACATTAGTACGAAATAAGTTTTTATTATAATTCCATAGTGCTATGGTCCCATAGTATATCACTATCATAAATCGCCGTGCTCATTTTTTAATAAGAAAAACTTCAAAGTTACGAAAGATATTGTAATTCAGCGCATTTGATGATACGAAATTGATTGAAACGATGAAATTGTCCTGCCTAGAATTATTGGCTATTCTATGTCACGAAAATGATTTAAACTGTGAATACTTTGGAGCGAATGATAGTATTTCGTTATTATTAAATTGCATGTACATACGCGATGACCATAATCCGGTTGGGGTATGTGATCGTTGAAATTTCTTCTTTTTAAATTTTTAAGAGTTTTTTCTAGGAGATCTACTTTGTTTAATGAAGATTATGTGGTTTGAACTATGTCTTCATTTTTGGTTTATTTATCAGCCAAACGTAGCATTTTCTCTCTACAGATTTCGAAAAATATGAGGGTCAAAAAAGTTCATGAGTGATGTAATTTCAGAGACTTTATGCAATTGCTGCCTTGCGACATTTAGTTTTAGGTTATCCACCAAATCAGTTACGACTTGCTCAGCTTTCAGAGGTTAACTTTATGGTTTGCATTTCTCTATTTGTGTATATGCATATTTATGTCAGGATTTAAATTGTTAATTCATGTTAATGAATGTTTTTATATATTTAAATTTTGCAATTTGTTATGATTTTCCCCATTATAGGAACCGTCGGCAATCATCGAAAGAGATGGTTTGTTGAGAGAATTAGGTTTGTGTGCAGTATATGACCAGGAAGCTAAGAAAATTCGGCTTATGCCAACACCACGATAATCAAAAGTATTTCTTTTTCCAGTGATATACTGTCTTTACTATATATTGGAATACAGAAAAAGGAAGATGATATAGTATTGACCGAGTACTGCAAAATGTTGAAGCTGATTTATTTTGTCGTTAAAACTTTCTGAAGTTAACGAAAACTTGTGAAATAAAAACATGTGCATGAGTAAACTTGGGCTGTATTAGTTCCGCTCGGTTCTATTTGATATTGATATAGGAAGATTTATTCTATCACTATTATTCAAATACTCTGACTTTGAAAAGTGCTCGCTTTTTTTGATAAACATTCTAAAATTTCTTGCGAAGCGATTGTTTGTTTTGAGCATTCAACAACATATCTTTAAAATTTGTGCGTTTTGTGCAAGAACTCTTGCTTTTTACAACTCTATGAATGTTATTCGGTAAATACAGTAATAAATAATCAGATGAATAGACTGCTTAACAATGAAAATTGTATTTAAACTGAGAAAGGGAGCAGATTTTGGAGAATTCTAAAATTGTATCATTTTATCATAGATTTAATTCACTAATTCCTTTCGCCAGCAAAAGCTGAAATCTAATTTAGAATTTTGGTTTATTAGAGAGAGTAACACATAGAGGTGTGATATTGATAGATACAATATATGCAAGAGAACTATGAGCAGAAAATATTTTGTCTCCCCTTTACGGAACAATAAACTAATAAGAAAGTCAATAAATTGGTTAGCTTGTTGAGTACTTCATTATTCATTTTAATGATTAATTGCAAATTATTGATTTTTTTTACATCTTCAAACTAATATTTTCGCTGTGAGAGAAGTGGAAATGGATGCTTAACATGATATTTTCCTCCCAAATATGATAGTAACAACTCGCGTATTCGGTTGGCTGTAAACGTTTTGAATGGATGGTAACGTAACCTGTAATTGCAGTGAATGGAATAATTTGGAAGCTGAAGTTATGAAATCTTTTTTAGATGGCAGGTAACATCGGTATTCTATTTTCTACATGATCGATTTACATACACCGTCGCTATCTGTTAAACAATAACCTGCCACTAATTAATGGAATGAGATATTATGTCTAAATGGATCTAAATTATAAATTTTTGTTGAGTAGTGTTAGCTGATAACGGAAGGCTAATAGAAATTGCATTCACGTTCATTTCGCTGTTTAAATGTCATTCTTTTCTCATAAATAATTTTGAACACAATCTTAGAATATAAAACTAGCTCAGATAGGATGGGTTGAAATAAGATAATTTATTATCTCTCTTCTTTCTCGCTCTCTTTCTTCTTCCTCTCTTTCTCTTTCTCTCTAAAGTCTTACATCCTATTAATTTCATTTCATTGTTCATACGACACTCCTTTAATACTATCGTATGATAACATTTTAGAACTTTTAGAACGCTACCTAGCAACGTGGTTAATTCCAAATAAAGTTACCCACCATCAATATGCTCGATTACTTATTAATATGCGACAATATTAAAGGATAGATGGACGCTTATTTGATGCACATCAATTAGTGCGGACTTGTTTTCATTTAGCGTAGAGTCAACTGCATGCTTTTCGCATTTATATTGTCTCAGTGTATTGTACAGTATACATGCACTTCCCAATTTTGATTTTGAAGACCTCTTTTTGATTTATCCGATTTCAACAATTTAGCCAAATATTTGGCGCATTACATCTATGTATCTAGTTTTTAAACAAACTTATAGAGATCATTAGCCTAGAATTAATACAATTATCTAAAACTATCTAACGTAGAATTATCTAACTGGAGTAAAGTACAGATTATGTCTAATTTAGATTAGTAATGATTGAAAATTGAATCCATTCCTTGCTGAGTTTTAGGTATGTTTTTAGATGCGAAAAATGGGCAAATTTCTTTTTCGATAGGTATGGCTGAGGATTGACCATTGATTGTTCGTTTTATGAAGAACTAATTATAGAACTTTAAGTGGGTTTTGTGAAGGACAAAACCTTCAAAGGATGGAAATGTTAGGCAGAAAAATGGAAGCATTTAGAAGGGGATTTATGTAAACGGAGAAAAGAGAGAAAGAAATGAAATAGAGCAAAGTGGAAGAAAAGAGGTCATAGGGTTTGGAAAAGATATTCTTCTTGATCACCGTCATTTCAGGATTCGGACATAAGGCATCACTACAGTTTGATGACAAATAGGCTTAGGTAGAGAAGTAATGTAGGACGACGTTACGTTAGTACTAAAATAATTCTGTCTTCAAGCCTTTTTTCCTTAGTGCAAAATGGAACATCCATCCAATTAAACAATGATCGTTGCTCAAATGCACCAAAACAAAACATCCCTCGTAGTGTGCCATAGGAACAGCGTTGGAATCTGTAAGTCTAGCAAAGATACACTTGAAGTACCATAATTTTGCGCCTTTTATTGCAAGTTCTTATACATTGGAATTCTCGTTGTCATAATATCAGAAAGGTAAAACAGATAGATAGCGGTATTGAAGCTTGAATAATGCTAAATTTTCCGCATAGGCTTTTAAATGGCACTTGCTGTCAACATTAAGCAGACATTTTGACATCAAACTGAATGTAAATTTGAGTATTTGCTCCGCATAAGTGCGATATTTTACGACTTATTAACAAATGTGTGAGTGGAAATGTGCGACAATTGAATTTGTCCCTTCACTTATGCCACCTTATCTCCCAGAAGTGATACGAGATTTTCACGAATTTTCCATTAAGGAAGAATTATCAAGATTTCTTTCTTTTTGAGCATAAGTTCATTAGAAAACTCTGCTTGCGCTATTTTTTGCACTTTTTTTTGTTGATTTAAGATGTGCAGCTGTTGGACAACGATTGTACTTTAATCTCTCTTTTCTTATCCATTTATTTCATCAAATCATGAGTTGCGTCCGAAGATCGTTAAGAATGAAGCAGAAAGAAACGCCGGCTTATTCGTAAACGTGCCATTCATGAGATTATCTGTGAAAGTTTAACGTAAACCACCAGTGATATGGAGTTCGAGAATATTTTTTCAATCGATTGATTCTGCTTCAGGTGGGCTTGGCTTGTTGGAGAGGAAAGGAGATTGGAGAGAAAAGGTGAGTTAGTGTTGTGGCGATCGTACGCCGTTCCATTCCGGTTCGTTTTCATTCATTTTGTGCTCAAACGATCGGTACACTTTCTCATCGTTTCGGAATAGTGGGTCAACTCGTTTGGAAGGAAGAATCAATAGTACGTACCCTGAGGGGTACCCTTCTTTCCAACTGTTCTCATCGTCTCGACCTTGTAAAATACGGAAAATGCCTTTTATTGGAAAAGATTGGCGAGCACCTGGTGAAACTTGGGTATGGTGCTCCAATACCGATGGATGGGAACAGGTGAAACTACGACCAATTCAGGTAATTGTTGGATTTACTGCAGTTTAGTTTCAAATTTTGAAACAGAAAGAAGTTAAAACTGTTTTTTTACTGAAGAAAGATGTTTCATTTGAGAATGCGAAGATTTAGATTTGTTCTGAAATTGAAAGGTTAGCAACAGTTAGAAATTGTTGAAGCTTTATGGAAAATTATGCCCATATTGATGCGAATCCCTATTATCATACCTCATAAATGAAACATGAAACCAATCGAATAAGTCATCATGCGCCAAAAATGATTATTTTTTTTACTTGATAGAAGCAGTCATTTTGATATCTATTTTACATAGCATGATTTCTTTTACTGATAAATATCTCAGTTCTAAGTGATATATGTGCTAAATGCACACCAGGGGGTGCCAATAAATCATTGCACTTCAGTAAACTTCAGCGAGAAACTTGAAGTTATATCATGTCCCATTAAAAAATATTGAAAAAGCTTTGAGAAGTGTCTTGTAAATACAGGATCTTATTTTGTCTATTAGTTGATATAAGTTTAAAAAATATAGGCCATACATGCTTTCAAAAACATTGCAGATAAAAGATGATTCTTGTTCTTGAATCTTCGTCCTGCAAATTTCTTTCTCACCCTAATTCTCTTCGAGAAAGAAATCTTAAATAATTAGAAGTCTTTTTTACTTTTATTCTTCACCAAATATATCTGTGAAAAGAAAAAATTTCATATAATGATGTCTTCCCCAACAAGTACAACATAACAAAAGTTCCAGCAAGTGAGTTTCGTAAAAGTAGAAGGCTTTTTCTGTACGAGTCAAGTTTATTTTTATTGTCTGATTAAGAAAAATAAAACTTAATATTTGCCGAATTTTTAACTATAGCAAGTAGAAGAAGCAGTCGATTCAGCCCGGTTACCGGTTTGCAGTTCATTGTTGAAAATCAAGCGTAATATATCTTCGATGTCGCTTTCAAGTAACGATGAAAATTTTCCACGATCAGATACTGATGATTCCGGTAACTTCTATTATGTTTGCTTTTTTGACTATGTTGATTTGAATGACTCATTTTGGTAGAAGATTACAGGATAAGCTAAGTTGAGCGCATGTGATAAATATATTTTAATATGAGGATTACTATCATTTTGTCTTTCTATCATTTTTTGACCTCATATCATTTTAAACAAGAGAAAACTTCCATCATTTACAATGGTGTATGTATGAAAGGTTTGGTTTATGTTTAGTTATTGTTTAAGATACAATGTTATTTGATTCCGAATAAACAAAATAAAAGGAAAAGGATAATAATGCCTAATATTCGTTACTTTCTGTTAATTATCTGATGTTACTTTTCTCCTTTTTTTTTACTTTTCTCTTTTTTTCAAAAACGATTTGATTCAGTATTTATATGAATTAAAAAGAAATTTTCAGTTTCAGAGGGTGTTGAATGGATTCCACATTGTTTCGTGAAAACTGGAAAATCCAAGGAAGTTAGCGCTGTTGAATTTCTCAATGTTTTAGTATTGAAGTCACTGAATATAACATTTTGAAACAAGTGTTTGTTGTACTAAGCCATTGACTGATTTATGTAGTAACTTGAAAATTATGTCAGTGTTTTTATGTTCAAACTTTCTAGATATAAAGTCCCTGTTTCAAAATCCTTTAAATATGATTACACTCCTCAGAAAACGATACTTTGAATTTTATGCAAGTTTGGTTTGCTTACCAATACTACAGAATGTGTAGATCTAAATAAGATTTCGTGATTTAATCGTAATTGAACCAGCTAGAAAGTGATTTTAAATTCAATGCATACATTTTCCGTTACCTTATTCATAAGCTTGTTAGTCTATCTGTTGAGATTTTTTTTGCAGTAATTCATTTTGTTCAGTTTGTTGGATGTACAAGTATGAGTGAGGCATTTCATCGATTGGACTTGGCACGAGCCGTGAGCGATGTCCGTAGGTTCAATTATATCTGTAAAGTAAGCTTTCAATATTAGAAATTAGTGTCTAAAGCACTTGTTTTTCTGATCCCTGAATTGAATGGGTAAATATTAGAGGCGTACATTTCTTACGCAATTTTTTGCCAGGTTGTGCAAATCCTCGTTCAAGAAAAGCTGCAGAATCTTAGTGCTACCGCTCGAAAAGCTCTTCTTTCCATTATTAAGGCGATTGTACTTATATGTTAGTTTTATTTTCACTCGAAGAAAAAGTGTTTAATAAATCCTTCAAGATCACCATATTTCGATCTTCCCGTTAAGCTTACAGCAATTTTGAAAAGAAAAGCATTTCATCCTTGCATGTATTTTAAGAAAAAATATTTTAAGAAATATTTCATTCATGTATTTTAAGAAAGATCCAGGTTAAGGAAAAAAATTTAAAAATTAGAAAAATCTTTAGGATGTTAGGATTCTAACGTTTATTTGAATATTTAGGCGTTGAGAGAGACCTACACATATCCATAGCACGATCTCTTGTCTGTGATTTCGGTACGGGTCTTGAAGGTCACTTGTATGGTTCACCTCAATTAGTTTCGAAGCAGCTAAATATGACTGGTGATTTGTTGGAACTTATTTCCGAGCGACGACCTCGTACATTAGCGGATAGTGACGAAGAATCAATAACCTTTATGGATTTACCACGAGAAATTTTGTCAATTATCTTGAGGTATATTTTTATTGTTTTTAATTCTTATATTAGAACTTAACTTGGTGAAAGAATTAATACTGTAAAATGATAAAAAAGTAGAGTTGTTGAAAACTGCTCCTTCGGTTTTTTCACACAGGGAATGTTTGAATTCCACATCATAAGTTATACTATTGGAATTTAGTTGTTTTTTGCTTTATAAGAGCATAGATTTTTTAAATCTTAATTATTTAGAGCAATAATTATTCCACTTATTAGCAGAACTTTTCAAGAAATTTTCCTGATGCTGATAATTTTCTCATACTTGACTGGTGAAAAATCAATTAGGTGTTCAAACATAATGAATAGAAAAATGGTAAGTCTTAGTTTGAGCGTTTTTCGAAATTTTCAGGTTCCATTGTTCCAAGCTGTCTTTAATTATTTAAATTATTTATATTTTTGCAGAAAGCTTCCTGACCACGTCTCGCTGCTTGAAGTTGCTAAAGCACACGAAGTTTTGGATGCCATTGTCGAAAAAGAAGAACAGTTATGGGCATCTCTGTGCAATTTCCATTTTACACAGGAGCAGACTACAAAAATTAAGAAAGATTCGATTTCCTGGCGTCATGCTTTTTTCGAACTTAAAAAATATTGTGGACTGCGGGAATTTTATGCTGATTTAATTCATCTTTGCTGTCACTGTAAAGCGATATTTTGGAAAGTTAGTGTTTTTAATATTTTTAGCGTCATTTTCAGGGGAGTTGACCTATGTTTTTTGTACTTTGAAAATCTAATTTTCTTTTCCTTTTCCTTAATGGGGGATTTATGAAAGGAGTGAATAGATATTTATTGCGTATGAGGTATGTGAGGAAATCGATGTTTTGTTCTAATTTTACACCTAATTAGGATATGAAGTGTAAGCTCTGCTTAAAAAAATTATAAGCATATTTTTAGGATCATGGACATCCATGTATATCCAAAGATACACCTTCGGTACGTGTTACTCCCCAACAATTTGTTGACATGTTACTATTCCTGTGAAAAAAACTTGGTTGGTTTGCGAAATTGCTGTGAATTTATTTGTGATATACAGTGACTTGCTACTTTTTGATTTTTTATTATGCAATATTTGTATTTGAAATCTGTTCAAAATCAAATACCAATGAAAAGAAGGCAAGATCTACTCCATAAAAGCAATGAAAATTGCAGTTTTAGATTCCATATACGTTTGCCTTACGCTTCGTAATTGAATTTTAATTCCTAAATATAATTGGAATGATCTTGTCAATTTGGGAAAATCAATTTTTGGGAATCAATTAAAAAAAATTATGTTGTATATTTATCATTTGTAAGTATTTGTAACAATTTTGCCACTGCATTTGTATATTTTGTCAATTTTTGAATATTTTGGATTTTTTATCATAAGTTCATCAACATGTCTAGCAAATTCTATTAAGATTTTTAAATTAATAAAAAGGTAAACGCAATGATTTTACAAAAGTTTTTGTAATATTTGTGATGATTTTTTGTGGATTCACGTAGCGCTTTTCAGGCAGAATTTTGTCCCCCTCCCAAGAAGTGATGGATTACGAATCTAATGTTTAGTGGTAATCTTATACCTGGTGGCTAATTAAAATGGTAACTGTCTTATGTACTGTCATGTTAAGTTATTTTGATAAATAGTAAGTGAAGTGTATAGTAGCATATCTCTGCTTACAAATTTCTCTGTTCACTCCTTGTCTTTGCTTGTTTATTTAAACTTCTCACTACTGCACTTCCATTTATCCTAAATGTTGGAGGATATTCAAATAGGAGCAACCCATCCCCTTATCATTGTGTCCCTGCGAGCGATTCATTTGCGGTCGTAATTTTAAGAGTAATCATTTTATTCACATTTAAGATAAAAACAGATGCTTGAACTATCTGATTAAGTTATAGGTGGAGGTACCAAAGATCGGATTACTAGGTAATCTAAGTGATATCATCAGATTATTAAGTGGTAGGATTTATGAAGATACATCCATATAAATTGATTGTAAGGACAGGACTCATCGCTAATAGCGGCAAGCACGGTATGATGCTTATTCTGGTGTTTTGTGAGGAGCTATGAAGTCCACTTCTCCAAAGACTTTAAAGTTTGACGAGTGGATTACATAGAAACTTATAGCCAATGTTCGCATTTAGAAAATAACTGCCTGAAAGCAATTTATGAGATGCATACTGTGTGCATTTTTCGTAATAATGTATAGATTTTAAGAAAATTTTGCCTAACTTCCAATCTACGATACATCTCAAAAGTGTAAATGACAGACAAGAATGGTATATCCGTTGATGCGTATGGATTATGCGAGACGCAGAAAATACGCCCTGGTTACGTGTTTCATGCACGCTATCTCCGCGTTGCTTATTTTTATCAGTGAAGCTAATCACTTCTTGTTGCTACCGATGCTGGCGTGCGTGCCTTCTTACATTATTTTTTTAATGCTAGTAAATATATACGTATGATTCAGAAATAAGTATAGTATTTTTTTGCTTGACGTGCAATCATTGCCAAATATGGTTACACATGTGTTTGACTACTGGCTGAGATTGGCATGCAGTATGAATGAAAACGTGTTTGGAATGGAATGTTAATATTAACAAGATTCAAACTTTTAACACTGAAATTACAGGCAAGGCATAATACAATTCGTTATCCATCATCATAAATTAGTTAGTTATTTGGTAGGTTTTATACCTTTCGCAACCGCCTTATTACAATTATTAATGTTCGTAGTTCACATTTACTCGATAGTTGCCTTTGCCGAACAACGACAAGCCTACTCGAGGTGGAGACCACAGCATATTAAGGTTAGTCTATTATATGTTATGGAATTGCATCTCTCGTTTCACATTTAAAATTTCTCTGTTTCACATCTTATTAGGCTCTTTATAAAGTTTTACTGAAACCATTCGAAAGAAATACACCTAAGCAATTTCTAAAAGTCACTTAGGTAGAATCTCATAATAAGCATTATCAATTTAAAATGATTGCTGGACATTGAACGTTTTTTATTAATTTACTATTAATTGATGCTATTATATTTCAGCTGTTGATATCGATTCTAGGGACGTCACTAATCATTTCCTTATTCATCAATGTTATCACTATTATTTATTACCAAATGTCAGATACTTTCTTAAAAATGGGAATAGTTAAAGTGAGCTTTTCAGCTTGAATTATTATATCATGCTGTAAAACACTATTAATTCCATTTCCTTTTTGCAAATAAGCTTAGAGGCAACTTTAAAAGGTTCTGAATGATTTCATTCATCATTAGAAATGTGCATTTTAGCGTATGATTGGCTTCAGTACAAAACAAACGAATCGTAATGAAATAAACTGGTTGCAAGAGTTTTTCGAATGTTGTGGTGTTTTTGGCTACGAAGATTGGTTCCCTCTAACTGCCAGCAACAGCTTATTAGAATCGTAAGTTTAGAAACACAAGGATCTTTCATTTCTTCAGTGTTGCATATTTCACGCAAATGTTGTTTTTTTTTTTGTATTTACATATTTCATTCACTTTCTTCATTGATTTACTTTGAACTTTTTTAGGAACATCTAAATCACGTATTTTTTTCAATATTAATTTTTCAGCAATTTATAGATTTTAATGGTGGCTAAATGACCAAGCAATCTATATTTTAATATCCTAGAAAAATACCCGCCCAGCGATATGTCTTCATATAAGCATTATTATATGTCAAAATCCCTTATCTTACATTTCGAATCCAATTCTTGTTTCCTGAATCTCTTTGCGAACGCAGATTTTAAAATTTGCTGTAAATTTCAGTCATCTGATAATTGGTAGGAAAAACCAATGGTCTCATTGCACGAAGAATGGTTGTTATCTGCCACATTCATGTTGTATAAGCAATCAATTGAAGTGCTCCCCAGTAATACTACTACAAAATTATACAAAAAATGAAGAAGTTGGCAAACACAGAGCGAAGGAATGGTTTTATTTTGCTGGTAAAGTTTTGTTAAATGTTCAAGTCGGAAGTTATCAAAATGATATTTTAAATTCTCCTTCGCTGTGATCATGTATATGTTTTTATCATTTACAGTCCTCAGAGAGCACAGCCAAATTGTGTCAGTTGTTATTACATTTCCTAAATTGTTGTAATCAATTGCTAATTTAGTTAACGTCGTTTTCTTATATTCAAGAAATGAATAATTTTAATATGATGTATGAAGCATTTCACTTATTATTGAAATGTTTTACTGTCATTCTATTCTAAATGTATAAATTTTGGAGAATTTATTAAGTAATATAAGTTTTATCCTAACTATTTTTAACCATTCTTCGCAACATCACAGAAAGTTATTTATTCATTTGTTTCGTAATCATTGCATTTTTCTTAATTTTTTTCTTTACTCTCTCTTTATAACACTATGATATCATATTCTTTTTCAATGTTCAAGTTTTTCAGGTTGTTTCAATAAGGTTAAACGGAGATTGATCATCATTGTATTCGTCACTTTTTCTATTCTTAACTTTGTGATACAATGTATTACTTTGTTATATTCACAAATTACTTGTACAAGTTACTCTATGGTAAGCTACTGTGATGCGGAAGATGCTACTGCCGTGCTTCCAGCATGGATTGTGCCATTTCCACCACCATATCCACGAACTGTTATTAAAGTTCGTTCTTTTTCCTCTTTATGAGATCGTACATTGTATGAACTGCATTTGTATTTATTTTGAAATCATTTTTTCATCTTTATGGATAGCGTTAGCAAGAGAATTTTCGGTGAGTTGGTAGATCTCATAAACTAGATGGTATTTTATACGATATAATGGTATTATTGTAGTCTTTTCCAACAATCTGGCTGCTCTGGTAACTTGGCTTACTTTAGTGGTCTGAATAAGGATATTGTAGTGAATGGAAGAAAATTCAGATGCTTATAAATTAGATAGTGATTTGCAAATTTTCCATTTTATAAATTAGAAGCGGTTATTATTATAATGTTCCATCAATGACTATATGATATGTTTCTTAGAAGTGTCAAGAACTCTTGAAACAAGGACGTGATTTCCAAGAATTACTTAAATGAACTGAAGTATCGTTGTACAAGCTACAAGCATTCTTTTTAGAGTGAGTATAATTGTATTCATTAATGCTCACTAACATCAAATGTAAAGAAAAAGGAGCGTTATGATATTTTTGTCTTTTCATTTAGTGCTCCATTTTTATCTCTAAATCTTATCAAAATTATTTGCTCTATTTCCAATTTATTGGAAGTATTAAATCGGTTCTCGTAATAATCGGGCTAAAATCGTAAAATTTGACATAATACTAGTGACGACGTTTTTTGAAACAATCTCTGAATCAATACAATCATTCTTTGTTCCACTAATCATTCATTCCCTTTGGGTTCTAAAAAGAAGTTAAAAAAAACTGATTCAATCATCAAATTATCTCTTACATAGATAGAGAGATTTCTTTAGTTGATAAAGACATTTGAAGACTAAATAACATTCGTAGTAGTTAGAAAATTTTCGTTTCTTTTCTCTGTATACAGAGAGAGGATCGTGGCAATATTCATTTATCATATTGATTCACTTTTCCTTTTTTTTTGTTAAATTCATTGAAAGATGAAAAAATGTCGAAGAAAGAATTATTCATCATATTGTTATAATGCTACATTAAAGTGAAATTGAGAACGAATGAATAATATAGAGATTTGAAGAATATCTTGATGTTTTATCAAATTGAAATAATGTTAATACCTGTATCAAAAGGGCTTTTTATAGCGAAGATATATTTTAGAAATTAATTGGTGGAAAAATATTGAAGAGGTATCTCTACTTCTGGTACTATAAACCAATATAAAGAAATATTTGATTTTTCAATTGAACAAAAGAACGAAACATCAAATAAAGAAATCATAAGTGAGATTTCGAAGTTATAAAAATTATCTTCCTCTGCCCTCTCATGAGCATTTCACAAGCTCCGTTAATTCAATTGTGTAACCCAAATGAGCATGATCTCCAACCGGTCTATTTCCTTCATTTAGCCTGTCTCTTTAATTATTTCGCATTTACCAAATAAATTACAAATTTTAAATTCCTTTACTATTTTATCTTTAAAATCTAGTGAACTTGTGCGATAATCGCCTCATGCGTAGAAGCATATATATATATATATCATTTTCTGGTTGCTTTTTTCGAAATTTTTTTAGCCAGAAAAAATGTTCCGTTTTATTTTTGTTCACTCACCTTTAGGCCCCGATGTGACATTTGGGCTCGAAAGGCAACATTTCCTTCTCCGACATTCTCCTCTCTTTTCTTGATAAAGCAATTCCTGTCTTTTCTTGTGCTAGAAATTATAAAATTTTTGCTTTGTTTTCTTTGATCGAACATTTGGCTAAAAAAAATACGACAAGAAATAATTTACTTTATTCATCCAAACTAATGGTAATAAACACTTTCTTCAATTATTTTCTTACTTTTCTGTCATAAACTTAATTTCCTCTAATTAATTTTATGACAGTATTTTAGAAACAAATCTATGTGACTAATTTTATTTCAATTGTTAGCTTTAATGCTTATACTATTGTGCCTAATAGTTTGCTTGAATCTTTCATTTCATATCATAAGTTAAATTAGTTTTAAAACCAAATATAATTTCTGTTGATTGTTTATTTGCTTATTTTGATTTCGATATTCGTTAAATTGTTTTCATTCCATTTTGTTCCTTAAATCATTTGTTTGGGAAGCATTATTATTAACAAAAATTATTTCATATATTTATATATCTCTGTTGATTTTTGCTGATCGTTTTTCTCTCTCGACCAAAATTCGCGATCAGATTTTGTTCTGACGGCATGTTTTCAAAATCTATTTCACTTAATTGCTAATATGGTAGAAATATTCACTGTTTTATTGTTTGAATTTCAATATTAATTAATATAGTTGAACTCAGTTGTAAAATGTGCAAATATTTTTCGCCCATTAGAAAGTTCAATTGCACACTTCTATCAATTTCTCTGATCAAACATAACAACTCACTGCCCGTTTTTTTCCACTCGAACAGTTGCATTTTAACTTTTTTTCATCATTTCATTTATTTTTCACTTTTCATTCGATTTGAAGTAATTTTTAGAAAGCTATAACGATTACGATAATGTCTTCGTTGAACTGAAAGGCCTTACTCAATATTGCTTTCAGGACTGTCTTTGTGATAATTGTATTTCTTTTGTAACAATTGTAATTCGCCTTTGCTTTCAGCTTTCAAATGATAAATCCGAGAGAGTAATATTAAGTTTTGTATATCCCATTTGTGTGTCATTACACTATTATAATAAAACAAAAAAAAGCGCCGTCCTTTTCGAATGATTAAATTAATTCGCTATATTAAGGTTAAGTTCAAAAATTCAAAAGGCGAGTAGATTTAATAAAGAATAGAAAGACGAGGATTTACAAAAAGAGAGAGAGAAAGAGGGAAAGAAAGAAAAATGGGAGGATTATTCTTTGATAATAAAGTAAAACAGGTTTTGACGAAAATCTGCAGGGTTCTCAATTTATCTATCCATCCTCAAATGCATTGTATTCTTTGATATATCGCAATTTAATGTAAAGGAGCTCATTTGCCTATTTGATGTTGTCTTTGATATCAATCAATCTACCTGAAATGTCCTTATTCCATGTACTTTCAAAACTTCACGAATTAACTTTTGTTGTCGAACGTTGAATCTATTCCCATCAATTCTCAAAATATTTTTTTCAAATATCCAATACAATATATTTGATCAGATTACCATTTAGGTAGAACACCTTTAAGGTATGCAATTGTACATCTGCAAGAATTATTTTGATGTTTTCTTTTCTTTTTTTTTCACTACCCTCTCTAATGATAGAGACAGATTTATTACTTTTTTTAAACCAAAATTTCTTTCTCTTTCTGTCTGATTTCTTTCTAGTAAATAAAATAGAGCTATTGCTGTGTCATCACTTCCTCTTTTAAAATCCTTCCCTTCCACTCTTTCATTTGATATGTCACAAAATAGTCTCTCACCTCATTTCCTTTCTTTCTTTCCCTGTCATTTATATCGAATAATTGAAATTCAGGTGATACAACCCTTGACAATCAAGTTTGATCATTTAACGAAAATTAAGATATCAATTTTCTTTCTAATTTATCATTTCCGTATAAAATCATTGTTTGTTATCATCTTTTACTGAACATTGCCATAAATTGTGATAAGTAATTGTTATTATTTCTGCTTCATAGATAACTGTAATTAATTTTAATTGAATGATTGATTTATTATCTGTATCAAAAAGTCTTCGTAATTATCTTGCAATTATTAAATTTTAACTCTTTCCTTCTGTAAAATTAGTTTTAATTAACAGATCGTTTTATCGTATGTGATTTTCGCAATAATAGTTCTTTTGGACTTTAAGTGGGAGAATTCATTTTCCAATATCATTATCTCTCATAGATCCGGCTATTCAATAGCTTAATGAATCGTAGTAATTTAAGCTAAACATAATTCTCAAGTGTATAATGATAAGTATGATTACGATACTTTTTTTCTCGTTAACAACTTTAGTGATATTCAAAGATTAAGGGTATACTTATAGAGATAAAAAGAATCCATGTGAAGAACACCTGTTACCAGTCATTGAAAGAAATCATATTTGATTTTGATCTTAAAAGTAGGAGTGTCCGGCAAATTTATGATCGTATTAGAAATTAAATGACCAAGAATATGATTTATTTTAACGAGAGACTGACATATTTATTATCCGATTTAAAGCCATCCATATGTTATTTCAATAAATTACCATTATCCTTCAAATTAGATGATATCACTCTATTGTGACATGATGCAATCTGGTTTAAATGTTAGCAATAATAATTTATCAGAACACATATCTGCTCTTCTCTCGAAAATTTTGAATTTTTTTCTTTCTTCCAAAAATCCTTCATGTTGAAGTTTGCAAATAACAATCATATAGTGAATCTAAAACATCTACAAAAACATTTTAAGTGGTCATAATTATACTTGGAAATTATTGTGGCGTAAGTGAAAAGAAATTGCACTGAAAAGGTTACATATCGTTGATACAACTAAAAATGAGCAGTTTTTAAATGTGGTTAGGAACTGAAACTTTGAATAGAATTAGAATTCTAATGATCGCGACATTAGAGATGAATTTTTTAGGACTATGAGAATGTGTTCATAGGATTCATCACTAATATGAGGAAATGATTGAGCAGGGATTTTCACTCTTTCGGGTTGAATATACAACATTGCTTCTGATATAAAATATATTTCAATGCACTTTCAAATATTGCTTCCTTTATCCGTGTGGATTTTTCACATTATCCTTTATATCCTCTCAATTCATCATTATTCCCCATATCTTAAACTCAAAAATTTATTATAATTTATGAACGAAATAATTCCTGAAGATGCACTCGGTAACGATGATCGCCTTGCTGAAATATCATATCAAATATCAAAATAGTTCAATATTCTTCAGATCTTTCATTTATCTCACTATTTCCACTTCAATTCTTATCTATGAAATCATTTTTGAGAATATCCATTTTATATTTCGCCATTGAAAAGTTGAAATTATTCAGAAGTATCGTTGGTTGTCTTAATTTATTTCACTTTTTCTTTATTTGTTTTAATCTTTTCATATTCAAATACCCAATATAGCCAGAAAAGAGCAGGAAGCTATCCTTATATTCCTATTACTTTTCTAGCATATTCGACAAATCAAAGGTGACCAAAAAAGTCAATTAAATTGCTGTATAGGCACTGCAAGGAATTAAATTTTCTATTCCTAATTTTTCTGCACTTTTACCGCTTAGCAAATTAAACATTTATTTTGGTTTTTTTGTTTCATTTCTTTCGGCTTAAGCAAAATAACTATTTGTAATACGCTGAAAGACATTGGTTGAATGCTTTTAAACTTGTAGGATGGTTTCAACTATTTGTTGTTTATGTTTCTTCGTCCATTTATTTATGAGTTGTTCGCTTTCTTTATGCTTCATTCCACTTCAAGCTTACAACTTTCACTTTTACAACAATAATGC